TCCTCAAAATTGAGAGGGATCACTTTGTGTGTCAATGTTAAAGTGCACACTTACCTGATTTGCATACATTATGCAACGACCCCTGGCATTGCATCGCTTTCAGTTCAAGAGACTAAGCGATGGGTTTTAAAGGTACCAACACATAAAAGTATTATATCCCAAGAGCTGAAATATAGTAGTTGAGCTGTTGAGGTAGGACTCTAGAGATCGAGTGTAGGAAATTAATTTCAAGTTCTTCCAATGTTAGGAAATTGAGCATCCTAAGTATCAACTTTGAACATATGCTTCACTCCTCTAAGAGCCAGCTCCACACAGTTTTATAAACTAGACAAGAAAAGGAAAAGGGAAAATAAGTAGAAAAGAAATTCCACATCCCCAATTTCTAGAATGCCTTACACTGCTTAACCCAAAGGTTTGATATAAAAATCCCCTTAATTTTACACAATATTTCATGGTTCAAGGAGCTGGACATATCTTACGCTAGCCAAGAACACAGACAGTGAAATTCAACTTTAACTGGTGAAAAGAACACAGAAAACCCATAACTCAAGAAAAAGGCCAGAAGCACATCACTTAAAATAGAGAATAAATAGACATATCATAGACATATGTCTCATGAGATAAACCAACCAGAATCACACTAGAGAAATCATAAATACCTGCTGAGTTCTATCACCATAAATAGCAGTAGCAGGGAAACCATTCATACAAAGCCAATGCTCCAATGAATCAGCTCCTTTTTTCGTCTTGACAAAAACAAGGGTAAGAGCTTGCTGATAATTAAAGACCACAGTAATTAGAATTTCAACCAATAATTTCTGGTAATTCCACTGAAGAGTAACTAGGAACAATGCATTGCTTCTCACAAGACTAATAGTAAAGATACACTCAAACTCTCTTTGATATGGTTGAATCTTAACATAACAAGCAAAACCAGGAATGAAGCATCTTAAGCAAAATGATATTTTTAAGCAACAAATTCTGATTTGATTTCTTCATTAATCTTTAGACTGTTCTACCTCCAACATCCCAAAATTACCACACCAGATCACACATTTAATTTTGAGATTCTCTATTAAAAATACAGAATTAATGTGATGCAGATGTCAATCAAACAAGGTAGAGTCTCCTATCGTGAGAAACCCTATAAAGAACAGAGTATCACTTCAGAAGAATATAGGCAAGTACCTAATAAGCACTTTGAATACTTCACCAACTAACAATGAAAAAGGTCAGGAAGTATAGATACAGGTCTGAACGTCAATTTTTTTGCTCATCCTCCTACATAATAGACATTAGTAATAGGTGGATAATACCTTGCCATGAGAACCATTTGCCCTCTGTGCATGAAGGAGATCCATCAGGTGGCTTCTCTTGTCAGTCTCCTGAACATATTCAACTCTTTGGACAGTCAGATCAGTACTAGAGCCGACCCTTCCCACAGCCAAAAAGATATAGCTTGAAAGAAAATCCAATGCCAGTCTCTGCAAGATCAAAGCTGAAAACTTCTCACAAAAATGTATATTCACAGTGATTATTCCAATTCACTTCCTATGCTTTGATTGAGCAAAAAAATATAGGCCAAAACGACCATCAACGACACCAGATTTATTCAGTAGTCAGGATCTGCTGGTATTTGGGAGATATTTATGAACGGAAAGAGTCACCTTCCTTCTGTTTTCTTGTAATGGCTGTTATGGATATTAGTGTACTAAACCAACCTAAAAGAAGCTTTGGAAATCTGCTAATTATTTTTTAGTAGAAGCTTCCTATGAATGGAATGAGTCACTTGCCTTCTTAATCTGAGTTTATTTGGTATTTGAAACAACATTTTGTTGCTTGCTATGACATATTTTCATTGTTATATGGCACTCAGGTACGTGCAAGTAGGTAATGCAGTTGCAGTTCCAGTTGCCCGAGCATTGGGCTATTCTTTGGCCATGTCAATAAAGGGATTATCTGGAGAAACACCATTGTTCACCTTGCCAAAAAATTTCCCATCTCACGAGGAATAGAATTGTAAAGAAGTGTCCCAATAATTTAAGATTAATTAATTGCGATTACCAAATGATCTTTCCCCCTTTGTATGGGGGATGATTATTTTTAGGATCTTAGTTTTATTGATTAATTTGCCTCCAGACATTGTTTCACAATACAATCATGCCAATGCCAAAGTGAACATGTGTCATGTCCTATTCTATTTCCCAGAAAATGTATTTTGAGCATTCAATTCCATGAAACATTTCAAATTGTAAACTGTGAGGAAACATTTAGTAGACGTTTGGCCATGCGATACCATGTTATGATATGATATTGTGAGATGGAATTAACGTTTGGACATGCGATTTTATGCTGATTCCATTTAATGAGATGTGATTTCATATTCTTCAAAAACCATGATATGAAATTATATGGGAACTTCATATCATGATTTGAGATATTTTAATATAAAGATTGATCTACAAGTTTATATTTTGTTAAAACAATTCTACATTTATATCTACTAATCATTTATTTCGTATGTACATAAAATTTATAATCACATCATTACTTTTTAAAATTTATTATTCTTACCGACATAAAATTTATTATTCTCACTAACATATAGTCATTTTAACTCACATCAACCAATTGTTAAAGTGATGAAATATTTATGGTCTATGAGCATGAAAATATAGTTGTAGATGATATTGACCAACTTATGGCTCAAAGTAACAATGTTGGTTCGTCTTCTCTTTCACATGATCAAGAAATGCAAGTTCAACGTGAGGAAATTGTCCGTACTATGTGGGAGAATTATATTAAAGACTAGTACACTACAATTTATATTCATTTTTTTTTATTAAATTAAAGTTAGATGAAACAATTTCTTAATTGGAGAACAAATAGCTTTATAATAATTTATTATGTGATTTTATAATTTTTTGTTTATTTGATAAAATTAAATAAACAATTGAGACTATTTTAATTATTTTACAACTTATGAGATTTTTATGTTTATGAAAAAATATACAACACAAAAATTTAATATCGCATATCCAAACAAAACTTCAATTTCATCTCACGATACCATATCATGATGTCATATCGCATGGCCAAACGAGCCCTTAAACACATTATTTTTGGCATCTGTGTAACTTGACCAAGGAAATTTAATCCCTCCAACCCATGACCAAGTTGGTCTTCAAGAAATAGGAGCTGCAACTTGTTTTTACTAGTTGGAATGGAGGTGCCTTAATCTTGATACCTTTGTATTTAATCACAATTTAGAGATTTCATTATGTGCCCTTGAATCAGTTGGTATCTATGCCCTCCAACTTGCATAGTCACACTTCTACCTTTACCACAAGAAGACTTGTGTATTTAGGAACTTTCCCTTTGTTTCTTGTTTCTCCACTAAAATTGCTAAAGTTGATGTTGAAATGGGAAGGAAATAGTTACCCCAAATCCACAGGGATTGAGGTAAGGAATACGTTCTGCTGAACAATGACAAAAATCAAAGTGGTAATTAAAGTTCTTCCGCTATAGCCAAAAAGTCGTTGGCCCACTATAGCCAACAATATAAAGTTATATTAAAATTTCCATGGAAAGACTTGGGTAAGTATCTCATTCAATTTGTAGTGAAGCCGGCCAATGAATTAAGGGTGACAAAAGAGTTTCAAAATGAAGAAAAAGTGACACAAATTTTAATCATAGAGTAGATGTGACAATTTTAAGATTAGTGCTAATGACACTAATTTTAAAACCCTCAAGTTTTAGTATTTACATAAAAGCCCTATTTTCCCCATTCCACACCCTCCCTTCTCTCCACCCTTCTGCTGCTGTCATCCCCTCCCCTTCTGCCATTGTAACCGTTGTTGTCACCACTTCCTCCTATACCACAACCATCAGTTCTTCCTCCATTGCCACCACTATCTTATTCTTCCTCTTTTACCACCATTGTTGCCACCTCCTTCTTCTCTACCTCTGCCTCCACAACAACCATCACCTCCACCTTCGTTGTTATCACCAACATCTCATTTGTCACTCTACCACCCTCTCGTTTACCTCACTTGCTACAACAATTATTGTAGTTGTTGCAGCAACTTTAGCAGTTGCTGAGCAAACTTGAGCAGTTGTTGAAAAAACTTCAACAGTTATTGAACAAACTTTAGCAGTTGCTGAAAAAACTTCAACAGTTGCTACAATAACTTCAGCAGCTATTGCAACAACTTCAGCTGTTGCTTGATTTTCTACAAAAAAAATAATTCAATGACTTCAACTTCAAATTTTTTAAAATTAAAGCAAATTAGTTTGTGAAATAGGACCAACAAGAGAAAAAGAAAAAAACGTGATAAAAAATAATAAACGACAACGATAATGATAGCAACAACAAAGAAGAACAAGTAAATGGAAGAAGAGAAAAAGAAATGAAGAAGAAATCTGGAAAGAGAAAGAAAAAAGGAAGAAAGAAATTTTGAAAGAGATTTTAAATTTCGAAATTTAAGAAGAGAGGGAAAACTTTTCAAACATTTTGACATTAAAAATTGAGTTTATTTTGAATATTTTTAAAAGTTTAAAAGTTTTAAATATTACATTTTAGACCCCAATTATCTTAATCACTAATTAAAAAAAAGCTTGACTTGGTCAATCCTTTTTTATCACCAATTTTAATTTTAACACTTTTTTGCCACTTCCTCCTCAATTTACTCACGATATCTTATTGATTAGTATTGCTTTCATTTTATATTTCCACGGAAAGACTTGTGTGTTGACTTGATATATCTCATTGGAACTGTCCTTTTCTCCACTCAAAGGATACATTTAATGTAGACATAGGAAGTAGCAAGTTGCCCCAAACCCATGGTGATCAAACCAGGGAATATATGACCAAAACCAACTTGTAAAGGACTTGTGCCTTAAGAAGAAGACCAACAAGATTCAACTCCTTTAAACACGGACCGATGTTGTATATATATATCTCATGAATTTTGATTTGGGAATATAACACAGAGCACAACTTTCTTTCTTCATTACCAGCCATTTTTCTTGCAAAATGAGTCTCTTGTTTCTACTTGCATCTTTCTTTCTTTGTCAACTTGTTTTGTCCTCATTTGCAATGTGCCCCAGAGATCAAAGTCTTGCCCTTGTAGAATTCAACCAGTCTTTTGTTGTTGATGCATCTGAATCTTTTCTTTGTGACAAGCAGTCTTATCCTAAAACGAGTTCATGGAACATGAACAAAGATTGTTGTTCGTGGGATGGAATAATATGTGATGAGATGACCGGTCATGTGATTGAGCTTGACCTCAGTTGCAGCCAACTTGTTGGGAAGATTGATTCCAATAGCAGCCTATTCCAACTCTCTCATCTCCAAAGGCTCAATCTTTCTATGAATAACTTTGACGATTCTCATATCTCGCCTAAATTTGGCACGTTAGCAAGCTTGACACATCTTGATCTTTCCCGGGCAGTATTCTCAGGTCAAATTCCTTCTGAAATCTCTCATCTCTCCAAGTTACAGTCTATTTCTTTATCGTCTAACAGTGAGCTTAGACTCGTAGCTTACGATTTCAAGACGTCCCTTCAGAATTTGACTCAATTAAGAGAGCTTCATCTTAGTGGTGTGAACATCTCTTCCACCATTCCTCTGAATTTCTCTTCTCATTTAACAACTCTGAGGCTGTCAGAAACAGGATTGTATGGGATAATACCTGAGAGTATCTTTAACCTGCCCAACCTGGAAACACTTGACTTAAGTTACAATGATCAGCTCAATGGTTATTTTCCAAAGACCAAATGGAATAGCAGTGCATCTCTCATGGAGCTGAATCTCGTTAGGGTAAATTTTTCTGGTAATTTCCTGCCTGAATGTCTTGGCTATCTAACTTCACTGCAGACATTGGTACTTAGTTCCTGCAATTTCTCGGGGCAGGTTCCAAAATCTCTTTGGAACCTCACCCGTCTGGAGAATATGGACCTTCAAGATAACCGTCTTGAAGGACCGATATTTCCTCAGTTTACAAGTGGACTGCAGAATCTGAACACACTTAGGCTATCAAATAACTCCCTGAATGGAGAAATACCATCCTGGATATTCTCCCTTCCATTACTGAGTGAACTAGACTTGAGTAATAACCACTTTTCTGGTCAACTTAAGGAATTCAGTAACAATTCGGTACTAGTCGGTGTTGATATTAGCGAGAATGAGTTGCAAGGATGTCTTCCCAAATCAATTCAGAACCTTGTGAGCCTAGTCTGGATTATTTTAGCAAATAACCAGTTGCAATGTCCTCTTCCCAAGTCACTCCAGAACCTCAGAAATCTAAAGTATTTTGATCTTTTGTCTAACAATTTTAGTGGGAGTGTAGATGTCAGTGTCTTTTCGAACCTCAAACAACTTTGGTATCTTGATCTGTCATACAATAGTATTTCTCTGATCAATGAGAACAAAGTCAAGTCTACATTGCCCCAATCTCTTGAAATTTTATATTTGGCTGCTTGTCAAGTAAAAGAACTGGATTTTTTGAGATCAGCAAAGAACTTTTATACCTTAGATCTTTCATATAACAACATTCAAGGAATAATTCCTGATGTGGTACTGTCTAATTGGATGCATTCCATAAATAATCTTTATCTAGCCCACAACATGTTGACAAGTATTGACCACATTTCATCATTTTCCCAACTGATCTCTATTAACTTATTGTCCAATTCTCTTCAAGGGACACTACCAATTCCACCACCCTCTATAGAATTCTTCCTCGTGTCAAATAATAATGTCAGTGGTAAGATCCCTTCTTCTATTTGCAATTTGACAACATTAAAAATCCTAGATTTGTCAAATAATAATTTGAAGGGAGAAATTCCACAATGTTTGGGTAACATGAGTGATCAACTCGAGGTTTTGGATATGCGACACAATAGTCTTTCTGGGAGTCTGCAAACAACTTTTAGCTCCGGAAGTAAACTCAAAAGCTTCAACTTGCATGGCAATAATCTAGAGGGAAAACTCCCAAGATCCTTGGCTAATTGCAAAGAGTTGGAAGTTCTTGACTTAGGAAACAATCAACTCAATGACACATTCCCTATGTGGTTGGGAACTCTTCCAAATCTACAAGTTTTAAGCTTGAGACTCAATAATTTGCATGGACCAATTAGAACTTCAACTAGTTCGAAACTGTTTCCTCAGCTTCGGATGTTAGATCTCTCTCGCAATGCCTTTACAGCAGAACTGCCAACAAGTCTTTTCAGAAATCTGAAAGCAATGAGGAGAATTGTCATTGATAAAACAATGAAAGCACCAGTTGATGAAGAAAAGCCATATTACCAAGACTCGGTAATTGTTTCAACAAAGGGATTGGAGTTAGAAGTTGTGAGAATCTTGTCTTTGTACACCACTATGGATCTTTCAAACAACGAGTTTGAAGGGCATATTCATAGTATGTTGGGAGACCTCATCGCATTGCGTGTGTTGAATTTATCTCACAATGAGTTGCAGGGTCATATACCACCATCACTTGGAAAGTTATCTGTAGTCGAATCGTTGGACCTTTCATCCAATAGGCTTTCAGGAGAGATACCAAAACAACTTGTTTCTCTTACATCTCTTGCAGTTTTTAATCTCTCACGCAATCATCTTGAAGGATGCATTCCAAAAGGGAATCAATTTGATACATTTGGCAACAATTCATATGAAGGCAATGACAGATTGCGTGGATTCCCAGTTTCACGAGGTTGTGGAAGTGACCGGATACCAGAGACAAACAACACAACATTTGTGCCAGATGAAGAAAATGATTCAACATTTCTAAGTGAGCTCAGTTGGAAAGTGGTTCTTATGGGATATGGTACTGGATTGATTATTGGATTCTCCATAGCATATTTGATGCTTTCTTCTCGAAATCCAAATTGGCTTTCTGGGATAGCTGAAGATTTAGAATACAGAATCATTATGAGAAGGCGAAAGAAGCAGCGAGGTCAAATGCATTACAGAAGAAGAAGAAATAATGGCATCTAGATGTAAGTTCAAAATTATGAGATATGTAGTCATGTTAAGCTATATACTGGTTCTTTTAGTTTACTGTAACTGGTACTAAAGATTGAGATTAGTGTTCTGTATCTGACTCTTTCTTTTGTAACTTTTATGTAGGCAAAGGGTGTAGTGTATCCAGTTGAAATTTCAAGAAGATGATGCCTGCAACAACAAATATATCTTCTTGGAGGAAATTACTTGAGCAAGAGATGCTTTTGATATTTCTTTTGGTGTCCTGGAGGTTGCAACTCCTTTTTCTTCATAAAAATAAAATAAATTCTAGGATTGAAGTATGTTGCTTTACTATAAACAGTTGTCACAATGAAGTGTTTTTGTTTTTCCATCCAAGTGTTGGTAAAGAGAAAAAGGATGTGTATTGACTTGGAATATTACATTTACCTGGAATACAGTTTGTTTCATCCTTCTATAATTCCATCTACTCCCCTTTTCATTTGTTTTTTAACTCTCTTTTGTCCCTATAAACAATGACTCTTTTTATCTTTAATATAAACTGTTTTAAATAAGTGGTATTGATACCATCAATTATCAATTTAATCTTTTTTGCAAGGCAATAAGAATACTAAAGTCTGCCAAAAGGTACATGTGAAACAGTAAAGAAGATTAGAAAGCTACCATTACTGCATTACGAATGATAAAAAGAAAACATAACAAGAACATTATAGTAGTACAAAACTTAGCACTGAATTTGTAATATTACAACAGTGATTAGAGTTGAACACAAACACTTCAAGGGCCCTGTACTTAAAATCTACAACCAATACATTTGGTTGATAAAGAATTTACTTAAGAGATATATAAATCAATTGCTGGCAGAAGAAACACACACTCCCCCCTATACACGAGACCTATTCTTTAACACATCCATCCCACCTACCAAAATGTTAAAGTAGAGGGCAAAAGCAAAGGGAGAAGTTAAGCAAGGCAAAGTAAATCCTAATCTGTTAGAAGTAAGTATTCACCACCACCTGCCAAGATTTACACATCCCCAAAGAGTCCTAACTACGTCACAGCAACCCAAACCACCATTGCAGCGAAGACTTCAGTACGAAATGTCAAAACTTACAAAAATGAACAAAATAAAGAGATTGAAACTAAAAGTGAGTAGAGATCTGCTACTGCAAAATTGAAACTGTATCTGAATTTGCAAACTGTGGCTGGTTAGTCCCAGGCGCTAGTCACACCAGCACCACCATATGGTGCAGCATACCCACCAGGAGCACCATAGCCACTGCTCATATTGGCACCACCATAGTAATCTGTGACGCCTCCTCGATTGAAAGAGGAATCTTTTCGGAAATCACGGCCACCAAAACGATTTCCACCACGACGGTTTTTGCTGCCTCCATGTGAAGATCGAGCAGCATAGCGAGAAAGCCAAGCAGGTACTTCTTGGTTTGCTTCTTGCATCAGATCAGCCAGTGATCTTGCCACAGAAGAATTGTTCTCATTAAAGAAGGCTGTTGCTAAACCTGATTTTCCTGCTCGCCCTGTTCTTCCAATACGGTGGACATAATCATCAATGTCATTTGGAATGTCAAAGTTCACAACATGAGCAACATGGGGTATATCAAGACCACGTGCTGCCACATCCGTTGCAACCAAGATTGGTGTATTACCAGTTTTGAAGGATTTCAGGGCGTATTCCCTTTCCTGCCAATAATGGACAACAATAATTGATCAAGGGGAAAAATGAAATGAAATGAAATCCCATCCAACACAAGCTATATGAAGGAGTAAGATGAAAAGATGCCACATATCTTAAGACTAATGATAGATAGGATAACAAGGTAGATATACCAGAGAAGGCATTGTGAACCTGATTTAACTGACGAGATATACTACTATGCTAAACGATGAAGCTAATTTAACCAGTCAACTTTAAGAATCTGCGACTTATTACCAGACAAGGAATCTGCTATAGCAGAGATGACCTTGGACAACACAAAGCCCCAAATATCACAATGGTATACAGATGTTGCCACCACCACCCACCCCATACAGCATCAACATAAAAGCGACTAATAATAATATCATCCACATAGCAGTATCAGATCTTTTTTTTAAAAAAACACTCAAATAGACAGAATCACACCAGTGCTATTTGAATATGAAAAGCGCAAAAAACATAAAAAAGTTCCATGGGGTTTGAAGCGTAAAACTAGAAGTGAAGTGCACATTTACGAAAAATTTAAAAATATCATACATACATGAATTTAGTAATACAATAATCAACTATCAATTAAAATTATTTAACTTCAACATTCAATATGCAATGATGACGATATTGATTCGACTCCTCAAAATTGAGAGGGATCACTTTGTGTGTCAATGTTAAAAGAGCACACTTATATGATTTGCATACATTATGCAACGACCCCTGGCATTGCATCGCTTTCAGTTCAAGAGACTAAGCAATGGGTTTTAAAGGTGCCAACACATAAAAGTATTATATCCCAAGAGCTGAAATATAGCAGTTGAGCTGTTGAGGTAGGACTCTAGAGATCAAGTGTAGGAAATTAATTTCAAGTTCTTCCGATGTTAAGAAATTGAGCATCCTAAGTCTCAACTTTGAACATATGCTTCACTCCTCTAAGAGCCAGCTCCTCACAGTTTTATAAACTAGACAAGAAAAGGAAAAGGGAAAACAAGTAGAAAAGAAATTCCACATCCCCAATTTCTAGAATGCCTTACACTGCTTAACCCAGAGGATTGATATAAAAATCCCCTTAATTTTACACAATATTTCATGGTTCAAGGAGCTGGACATATCTTACGCTAGCCAAGAACACAGACAGTGAAATTCAACTTTAACTGGTGAAAAGAACACAGAAAACCCATAACTCAAGAAAAAGGCCAGAAGCACATCACTTGAAATAGAGAATAAATAGACATATCATAGACATATGTCTCATGAGATAAACCAACCAGAATCACACTAGAGAAATCATAAATACCTGCTGAGTTCTATCACCATGAATAGCAGTAGCAGGGAAACCGTTCATACAAAGCCAATGCTCCAATGAATCAGCTCCTTTTTTCGTCTCGACAAAAACAAGGGTAAGAGCTTGCTGATAATTAAAGACCAGTCATTAGAATTTCAACCATTAATTTCTGGTAATTCCACTGAAGAGTAACTAGGAACAATGCATTGCTTCTCACAAGACTAATAGTAAAGATACACTCAAACTCTCTTTGATATGGTTGAATCTTAACATAACAAGCAAAACCAGGAAAGAAGCATCTTAAGCAAAATGATATTTTTAAGCAACAAATTCTGATTTGATTTCTTCATTAATCTTTAGACTGTTCTACCTCCAACATCCCAAAATTACCACACCAGATCACACATTTAATTTTGAGATTCTCTATTAAAAATACAGAATTAATGTGATGCAGATGTCAATCAAACAAGGTAGAGTCTCCTATCGTGAGAAACCCTATAAAGAACAGGGCATTACTTCAGAAGAATATAGGCAAGTACCTAATAAGCACTTTGAATACTTCTCCACCAACTAACAATGAAAAAGGTCAGGAAGTATAGATACAGGTCTGAACGTCAATTTTTTTGCTCATCCTCCTACATAATAGACATTAGTAATAGGTGGATAATACCTTGCCATGAGAACCATTTGCCCTCTGTGCATGAAGGAGATCCATCAGGTGGCTTCTCTTGTCAGTCTCCTGAACATATTCAACTCTTTGGACAATCAGATCAGTACTAGAGCCGACTCTTCCCACAGCCAAAAAGATATAGCTTGAAAGAAAATCCAATGCCAGTCTCTGCAAGATCAAAGCTGAAAACTTCTCACAAAAATGTATATTCACAGTGATTATTCCAATTCATTTCCTATGCTTTGATTGACCAAAAAAATATAGGCCAAAAAACAACTGATGAGAAGCAGAAAAACGCAGGTCAGATCGGGAACAATGTAGTCCCCCACCCACCCCACTCTTTTTTAATTTATATGGTGTATTTTAACTAGACATAGAGCTTAAGAAAGAAATGAAGACTATTGAAACTTGTAGCCTAAAATATGTCACAACATTTGTGATCTTAAACATAAAATAACATTTTTATGGCTATAAAAGCTTGCCATTAAGGGTAAAAGTTCAGATTAAATCATCTCCAAATTTAGAAAGGTGACATTCTTTGCTGAACGGAGTGAGTAATAACTATGGAAGCAGCTAGATCAATAACATGGAGTGGATTTCAACTTTTAAGTTCAAAAGTTTAAGTCAACGGGATGATGGAGAATGAAATAAATTATAATCAAAAGAGCAAAAATAGGTCGAAGAACAGAGAATCCATCCAAACAGAGCACTGACCTGAATCTCTTTGGGAAAAGTGGCACTGAACAGCATTGTCTGTCTTACACCTGGTGGAGGCATGTCCATTTGTTGCACAATTTTCCTTATTTGAGGCTCGAAACCCATATCAAGCATTCGGTCTGCCTCATCTAGAGCCAAGTACCTTATCATATGTAGCGAGACTCTAGCTCTCTCAAGTAAATCAACCAACCGCCCAGGTGTTGCCACAAGAATATGCACTCCTTTCTCTAGTTCTCGAAGCTGTTAAGATGCAACATCACGGCTCAAAAACATTATAAGCGAACTGCTTTTAATGATAGTAGACATTTCAATCTCCTTATTTGGTGCCTATGATGTCTCTCTCTCATAGTGCATGCATGAAATGGTACAACAAACAATCTGTATGAACTAATATTGTAAAGCACTCAATAACTATCACCATTGCCCTTCACTACGTTACTCGGATCCTCCAAAATCTTGTGGGATGTGTGTTGGATTCTCCAAAAGTTGTGCATTTTTGGAGGATCCCATACGAGTACAGCAGCACTTTTAAAGGATCTGAACAACATAGGTCCATTGCATAAACTATGTACCTAGACCAGGAAGAACCACTTGCTGAAAGAGAATTCAATGAACTGAAGGCCAATTTCACACGTGTATGATTTGTGACACATAAATTTTTGAGAAAGATAAAGCAGGTTTAAAATATGAAATCAGCTTCAACTAAAGCAATGTTACTATTTTGCAAGAAAAAAAAGAAAAAGATCTCTTTAATAGCATAAGAACTTCAAGCAGCCTAAACTCAGAGAACAATGTCAGCTGAGTAGAATAGACAAAAAGATAAAAGTACCATGCAAACAAGAGAAGAAATAGAACCTGTTGGTTTATGGGAGCACCACCATAAGCAACAACCACCCTGACACCAGTCTGATATGCAAATTTCTTAGCTTCATCGTGAATCTGCAAGCCAAAACACAACATTCAACCCTGCACTTGAAAACCTTTTTGAAAAGCAAACCATAGTGCATAGTCCAAAAAACTAAATTGATCTTCTCTCCCCCACCCTTTTGAGTGCACAGACCAACAAACCTCATAAACTTACTTGGCATGAGAGCTCCCTAGTCGGAGAAAGAATAAGAGCCAGTGGAAATGCGACACGTGGACGTGGAGGTCTAGGAAATTGTCCCCGCATTATTCCACTAATGATGGGAAAACAGAAAGCAGCCGTTTTTCCAGAACCAGTCTGAGCACAAGCCATCAAATCTCTACCAGCAAGTGCAATTGGTATAGCATGCTTTTGCACAGGGGTTGGTTTAACATACTTGCATCTCCTGATATTTAGGTTGACAGCTTCACCTAAATCAATCTCAACAAACGTGTTCACAGGAGGGGGTACATTATCCCCACTTGTCTCCACAGGAATATCCTCGTACGCATCAAAGTTGATCCCAGAATTCTCAGGCTCAACAAAGGGTTCAGCATCATCATCTGCAAAGGGATTAGCTTCTCGGTCCCTCCCACGATCCCAACCACCTGTTCTGTTGTTCCAGCCACCGCCACTGCCACGGCCTCCTCCACCACCATAACCAGATCGGAAATCATTCCTCGGACCACTCCAACGACTTCCACCTACATTTGGGCCACCATAACCACTTTGGTCCTGCGCAGATGCAGCAGGCCCAGCATAGGAAGCATGTGCAGGAGGATCTGTTGAAGGTGGCCTGTTTCTAAGATGTGGTGGAACATAGGATGACCTGGGGCGAGCAGCAGCCAGATTCTCGGCTGCAGAAACCGAATCAGCCCAGGATGTTGGCATAGTCAAAACACCCAGAAATCAAAATCTGATCACCTTTCTGCTAACCCAAAACTCAGGTAACCTTTTTTCAACAGGGATAGGTTAAACCCTCAAAAATACGAGCTACTTCTCCTTCCTAGCACCAGGATTCCACAGAAAAGCCAACAATATTCATCAACATCAAATCAGCTCACACACCTGATGAAATTACAAAACAAATTTTAAAAAAATCAACAAACCTGTTCAAGTTCCACATGCAAGACAACAACATTCAAACACAAAATACAAATGATCAACCATGCACAACTATGGATATCCAGAAAATGCAACCCAACAGAAACAAATAAAATGCAAAAACAATAGATGACTGTCTAATAGACACGTCAAACCACATAGAATTCAAATAAAATGAAAAGATTCCTCTTCAAAAAAAAAAAAAAAAACAAAGCAACAAAAAGAGAGCCAGGATTCTAGTTTTGAGAGAGCAAAAACAAAAATAATGGCAAAATAAGCAGATTTTTTTCCGGTAAAAAGGGGAAAAGAGAAATCCAACCCAACAAAAACAATGAAAAATACAGCATAAGCACATGAAACAACATAGGAGTTATATTAAAATTACACCCGGGAAAATGAAGCAAATTTCTGCCCAAAAGCAGAAATCGACAAACCTTATAAAATATGCACATTGAATTCAGAAAAAACAAATAGGCATGTGAAAGATAAATAGGAAGAGGAAGGAAGATAGATACATACATAGAATGAAGGAAGCAAAGGAGAAGGAAGAAACCCTAAGTTTTGACAAGGAAGGAAGGAAGGAAAAGTAGAATGGGGAACGAAATGCTAAAATAAAATATCTCTCTATATATATTATACTATGCTCTATCTCTCACTTCTTTTTTGCGTCTCCGCTGATTCAACGTAAAGTGGAAAAAAAGGGAAAAGGGTTTGAAAGAGAGAGACCCAATTCCACTTCCCCACGTTCTCTTTACTTTCTCTCCACCTAAATTCTACCCTTCTTTTTTCTCCTCTAAAATTACGGAATTAAACATACATACACACCATAATATAATATAATATAATATAATATATTTGATAATGTCCCAAATATATTTTTATTTATGTCAACTCACCAAATATTATTCTACTATGCTTATTTGATAAAATGTACCATGGTTCGATTTATCTACTATGACACCCAAGAAAATGTGTCATGGTGCAAATAATTGTTGTAATTGAAGTCTCAAGGAAGCTTGCTTGTGGATTCAATTTCCATGAGGATATCATATAGCTTTTTATTTACAGAGTTTCATATCACAATGTTGATTTCATTCAAATGAGGTGGTAAATTAGTTCCTTTTCGGATAGTAAGGATTCATAGTGGATAGCTTGAGATTGAGATGTAGTTATTGTTATACGTAATGAACACCCTTCACTAGTTGTTGCACAAAAAATGAACGATAAGTTCACCCTGACCGCTCCTGCATCATTATAGTAACCAAAAAAAAACTTCTTTTTTTGGGCTGGGGACAGTCCCCAAACACTTCAACAAGTTTTTTCAGTTGAGACTGTAAAGAGCTCCTCACTTTTCTACCGAAAGATTCAGATACTATGAGTAGTTTGCTATATACATGCCTTAACAGCAAAGCAAACCATCATTCATGATTCAAGTAATGGAAGTATCAAAGAGGGTGCTTTGGTGAATTTGTGAACTTGTACTCATCACAAAACCTCTGTCACAAAAGACAAAGACAGACAAGAGGCACAAAGGGTACATCTTTTCCTTCAGATTTTGACACTAATAAAGTAGTTCTTATAGGATAAACAATACATAAGAAGGCATGACTTCCATCTCAAAGCAGAGCATAACAACCTGTTCTAAGCTCGGAAGAGTACCTACTACCAATAAATAGCAAATGTGTTTATACAAGAGTAGCAGCAAAGTTCAAAAAGACAATCTAGAAGTAGTTGCTGCTGTAAAAGTCTTTCAGGAAATTAGAGCTGCCCCAATCTTTATGTCCAAGGTCCTGCACAAGACCTTGATTACCTACGACATATTTCCCAACAAGATGGTGCCTCTGTTTTGAGTGGTCCACACAGTTCTTCAACTCTTCCATGCCCTTAAACAGCAGCATGTCAATTACCTGTACGATAGAGACAAGTCGTGAGTACAATTTGACATAGTCCCTTGCTGCATAATTGAACACTCACATTTTACTGAAACATTACGATGGTAGTGGACGTGTACCAAACTATAATAAATAGCAATTTTCATCTTGATGAGAATCCTCATGGGGCAAGTTCTATCTAGAAGGATAACAATCTATGAGCTCGAGGTGTAAATCCATTCCTCGGAGTTTTTCTCCTCTCTTTTTGTCCTTTCTCAATTATTATGTTTATGTACAAACAAAAAATAAAAAATGGATGTCCGTCCTCTTTATCATTCACTCACACAATAAAATGAGACATTGATTACATGATAAAGCATTTGCAATCTTAGAGAGAAGCACTCGCCTAATCCAACACAAATAATTTAATGCAAGAAACAAAAACCAAAATTGAAACAAACAGAAAAGAAAAGGGACAAAGACATTATTTATATACTTTTCGAAGTACTAACATTTCTAATTCAACTTTTTATAACCTGTTTCATAGAGACATCTGGTCCTCGTTCAATACGGTCATCAATAAAACCTTTTGTTATCCCAAACAAAAACAAGTAACATCGACAGAAATAAAAGGAGATTGTCTACACTGTGTGTACTGTGTACAAATGGTATAAGGGTATCTAATGCTATGTATACCAATTCTGCAATAAAGAAGACACGAGGTATCAATGAGAAAAATCTAAAAAGTATGGAAGTCACAAGCTGTGCAATGCAAATGTTGGAAATAAATACTTGACTGTTCTTGTTCTGCATGGAGAAAATACTACGCAACTATAGCCTTCGGTTCCCTTAAAGCTCAACAAATCAAATAGATTTATTATCCTCGGTCTTCAATGATCATTAAGAAGCTCTACCTGCATACCTTGCCAGCCAAATCTCAGAAGAAATAGTAGCATAATCAAAAGATGCATCACAATCAATTTTTTTGATAAAGAAGATGCATCACAATCATAAAAGCGAGGGAACAAGCAAATGAACTTTGATGTGAAGACATGAAAAATACCAAAGAGTTGTATATTAGACAATAACACTAAGTCAGAGTGGCATCTTGATGATGCACCTTCAAATTCTCTAAGTTAGGGATTAGGGAGCCTTAGTCTAACAGCATTGCAACCAAAAAACTCATATCTGCCAGCAATTCCTTTCACTAGACCAAATCTTCTTTCTGGTCTACCTGTTCTTTTTTGGATAAGGCCGCTAAGTACTTAACAGTTTCCAAACATAACAAGAGTATTTGACTGATGGTTTTAAGCACCAACATCAATCAAGCACATATTTGAATCTTTCTAAATAGCTTAAAATCTCATGAACTAGAAAACAGTATTTAGTCTCTCTGAATCCTACAAGCAACTACCTTGAAAAAGAAGCCACCTTTAGAATTCATCAGCTACCTAATTTAATCTATTTCATCAAAACCCAAAACTAGAAATCTGCAAGGATTTGTTTCTATGGTTAGGCAAACCAAACTAAGAAACTTATGGAGACTCAAAAGGCTCAAATGTTATTTGGATCCAAATGAATAACCGGACAGTTCAAACTTGTTAGCTAGTTTTTAGAATCCACTTCATTCACCTGACTATCAGTTTAAATTAGCAACTAATTCTATCTCGTATGTGAAATGAATGAAAATCCAACACTTGATGTTTTAAAACCCATAATTCAATTTGATTCAGTTCACAACCACAGTTGGATCTCAATTCCAGTACATACTACTATATACTCCTTCCTCAAACCCACCCTCGACCCTTAAAATAGGGGAAGCACATGAAGGTTAATATTCTCCAAAAGAGACGCTTTATTCTTCAAGAAAGATCAAAGCTTTTTCAAATAAAACTAAGAAACTTTATCTTCAAAATTCACATATTTCCCTTGCCATTTCTGTAACAACCTATTTACTTACACAATCTTTTCTATCAAACACTTGTGATAGAGATCCCTTGACCATTGCATAATCTAAAATTAATTCACTTTCTAGCTCACTATCAGACAGCAGCGAGTACCTTTATGAAATCAAGCAGGTAAAGTCACTATTTTTACACTAGCAATTACCAGGAAATGAATCTTTTTTTCTCTAATTTGAACATGATACTGCCTAACTCTGTCCATAACCCGAATAAAAGAGCAGCCAAGGTCAAAATGATTCATATAGCCAGACCCAGCTAAATTCATAAACTAAACATAGATAATTGAAATGGGTTAACTTAACTTAAAGGGATAAACGAAAAGAGTACCTTAGGATTAGTAACGTTTGAATTTTTGCGAACTTCGGCGGCGACAGCAGAACGGAGTTGAAAGGGGGAAACGACGTCGTATAAGTTGTAAATTTCCATAATCTCAGGGATGGATCTGCAACACATCCTGAAGAATTCTAAGGTCCTCTTCTTAGCTTCAGCCAAACTCGCTGAGTTTGGTGGAACCCTCATGTTCCTCGCCATATGCACCATTTTCCTTACTCTGCAATACGAAAATTGCTGACAGGGCGAGAATTTTATCCCGTGTGCATCTAAAGAATAACAACAGCAGGTTTTTCTTGTCATTAAAAAAAAAAAATACATATTATCCAACTTTATTTAGTTTAATAATTTTTCATGATGCAAATCTAAAAGATAACCAAAAAGTATTTTACATCACAAGTATTATTTGCTAACAATATTTCTATATATTAGAATAGAGAGTTTCAACATGGCAGCTTGGTGACATTAGATGAAAGTTTAAGGGTATAATAGTATTTTCCTAGACAATTTGCTTAAAAGGAATTGTATTTTCTGTTTTATACTTTAGACCACATCAACCGGTACATAAAAGATCCATCATTTTCTGTTAAATTACAATTGATGCCATCCACTAAAATATCATTAAATGTGATTGGGACCCATTGAACTACACTTGTGGAGTTGTGGTCAGTAGTGTTCCCTCAACTTTTGCCTTATTTATTTTTCTAATAAAACACTTTAGCCATTTTATTTATGAAATGTCCATTGATGAGTTTGCAATTGGTTCTAAATATTTTTTTTTTAAATGAAGTATTATTAATTCAGATTGAAAATGTATATATTAAATAATATTTTTCTGAAGTGTTATAGTACATTAAAAAAGTTGCGAATATTAAAAATTCAATAAATGGTCTTATATGATTTATGATATGTTAATTACAAATATTATATAATAAAAATAATAATAAAATAATTAAAAAGTAAAATAGAGAGTACGAATAGTAATTCTTCAATCATCTCTACAAATAATGAATAGAGAGTGAAATAGAGAATGATTGAAGAAAACATTCTCTATAAACTCTCCAAATATAGAGAATATAGAGTAAAATAAAGGTGGATCGGAGATAGTTTTATAGGTTTTTTTTGTTTCCAAGATATTCATAATTGATAAATATGATCTTTAAAATCAATTATGATTAAATATAAATAATAAATTTTAGAAAATTTTAAAAAATATCATATAAAATCAAATGAAAAAGTTGATAGACTCCTTAGTTTCGAAATAATTTATTGTGATTGAAAAACATCCTCCTCTACTATATTATAATTTTAGATAATTGAGATTTATTAATTAGAATATCAATAGTATATAGAATTTATAAAAATAAATTATGCATAATTTTATCCTAATATTTTGTGAAAAAAATAGTTATGTTAATCATTATTTTCTTAATAGATGAATATGACAAATAAAATTGAACAAGAGAATATATACTTCAAAGTTATATCGAAAAAGTAATTTGTGGAAATAAATAAATAATGAGGAGAACCAATAATACGATGAAAATGTTATTCTCCAATTTGTTGGGATTTTTTGTGAAATCAATTCATATCAATAATTATAATTAATAACATATATAATTATTTTTAAATTTAAATCTTATATTAAAATATTTGCTCTTACACTTGTTCATTTTAGCAAATTAAGTAAAAAAATATTTTCGTATAATATATCTTTTTTATTAAATAATTATATTAAATACTAATGGTCAATTTTATTAATATTTTATAATTTATTTTTATAAAATAAAAATCTATCTAACCTATAGTTTTAATTAAAGAAACCTAATAATTGATGTGGTTCAATTTAATGTGGTCATTATTTTAGTTTCTGAAATTTGACTATTTGAAAAACATCTTTCGCAAATGCATACTATACTTCTAAATAATTAGGAATTTAGATTTATTTAAAACATTAGTATTATATATAAATGTTGGGCCCGTACTGACATGGGCCATTTTTTCTAGTATATCTAATATAAGATTCAACAAAAGATTAAGAGTAGATTTTATTCTTATTTTGTTAGTGTATGGGCTGTTTTTCAATTAACCTATATAAAAAAGAAATATTAACAATAACAAAATAATAAGATAAATAGAATGGGAGTAGATTTTATTCTTATTTTGTTAGTGTATGGGGTTGTTTTCGATAAATCTGTATGAAAAAGAAATATTAATAATAACAAAATAATAAGATAAATAGAATGGAAGAAACAATCAAGTAGTACTAGAGATTTTATTTATAAGAAATAAAAAATTAATTGATCAATAAAAACAGAATTAACTCATTCATAAAAGTTTGAAACTTGTACCAACATGAGTTGTAGTGCACTAGTGAGAGTATTTCACCCTTACCCAGAGGTCTCGGGTTCGAGCCATGGGTATGGAGAAAATTCTATTGAAAACGTTATCCCCGAATGTGTTCGTATTAATTTTGTAAATAAAGTTATGAAATATTTTTATCTGAATAAATTAATATAGTTATCATTTCTTAAATTTAGTGAAGTTGAAATTAGATGCCAAACTAATTAATAAGTACTACTAGTATTTTTTTTCTGCTTGCATTGAATTCATTTTTTTCTCGTGAATTTATTTAATTTGTATTTGAAAAAATGAGATAAAAAGACAAAAAAAAAAAAAAAATGACAAAAAGGATAAATATTAATGCATGTGGCCTTACGCCCTTACCTCTTCTATTTCTAGCTATTCTATACACTATTATTATATAGAGATTTTCTAGAAACCAAGTCTTAGGTGATGAAATTTTAGAGGAAATTATAAAATGATTAAAGGGTTAAAAAAATGAGTGAATGGTTAAAATTAAATATATTCTTAATTTTAACATAGAAATTATATTATAAATCTAATGAGATCTCTCAAAATCGTGCGAAGCGCTGCCTTTTTTACTAGAAATGTATAAACTTAAAATAATAAAATCATTTTTGTTTAATATAATAATATATATTCTTAATTTTGGTTGCAACTTTTCTTGAACGCTTTTTTTTCTTCTGTTAGGTAGGATGTCATTGTTACCATCAACGTCATGACTTGATGATAGAATTGGAATGCCAGTGAAATGTTAATAGATGAATTGTCTTGGCAAAATTTTCCTTTTTTCAATAATTAGGTTTACATTATCCATCATCTTTTTTAATTTTTTTCTATGCATGCTTTGGAAATAAAATACTTTGATTTTAAGGGCGGAGCTAGTTGAAGCTTTAACATCCGTTCTACACATTCCTTGATTGATGTCTTTATAACGAATAAATTAGGCACTACTTTTACTAGAAACATTATTACTTGTAATTAATAGTAACAATAGGCTTGACTCTAGTACTACCAAAACTCATGTGATCTAGCATGACATGCTCATAAAGGGAGGACCTAGGAGATTTGTCCCAATTTCCTTCGATAAAAAATTACATTAACTTTTATATATGTAGTAAATGTTAAAATCTTTTCTAACTTTTTTTTTGTTCTGCCACTGATAATGGTGCATAATATTTAATGCAACTAAAGTCTAGCTAGTATTACCAACAACAAGAAAAAAAATGGCATATACACACATGCCATACTACAAACAAACTCAGTGCAATTTATAAAACTAATGAATTCAGAAATATTTGAACACAAAATAAAGAAAATTTGGAATAGAAAATGCTCAAACAAAAACTTCATAGACAACTTTTATATATATATAAACATTTAAATTTGAAAGAAAGAAACAAAATAGAAAGATAGATGTAAAGGAAAAAACACATATTTTGCTTAATATAGGAACATATTATTCTTCCATGCATGCAAGCAAACCCATGAAGTTCTAATTGATTTTAGCAAAATCAACAGTGTCTTTCCCATCATGAGCTTTCCTAAAGAAATGCTTCACATAATCGGAGTAAAGGACTTGTTTGTAAATTGGCTCCTCCCCACTCTCCAACACTTCTTTCAATGGTCCGATTACGTCACTAGGTTTTGGGTTCACAAAAATAGGCACAGAAATCCTATTATTATTACCATTAGCGATAACGCGATGCTCAATGCTCTTGTATCGTCCATTGCTCATTATTTGAAGTGCATCGCCGATGTTAATCACTAGAGCCCCGTGGATCGGTGGGACGTGAACCCACATGTCACTGTCCAATTTTTTCACATAAAGTCCTCCGATATTATCTTGAAGAAGAATCGTTAACGTTGAGACATCAGAGTGACGACCTACCCCGACAGTTAATTCGGGATTAGGGCATTTTGGATAGTAATTAACGTTAATCCTCTTTGATCCCATTAGAACTGATTCGTCTATTTCTTTTACGTTTAATCCTTTCATTAGTGCCTGTAATAACTTCTTCATGACAATTTCTGAATTTCTCATGAACTCCAACGCTTCATCCCTGAAAATAAAATAGTAAATTGTTTAGCTTATATAAATTAAAGAGAAAAAAACATCAAGTATATATATGTTTTTTTAAAAAGTATTTTTATGACATGATTAGAAGGAAAGACGTGAAGATTTTGAATTTTTCTACATATTTAGTGATTTTTTCTTAGCACATATACTTATATTGTCAGTATATATAACTTAAATCGATGTTGCAAACCTGAGAGCACAAGGCCAAAGAGCAGCAGCTTCTTCATCAGAAACATAAAAAAGGCTTAAATAATCTTTCCACTCCAAAGCCTTTTCAGCTTTAGGAGTAAAACTAGTACCATATCTCACGTTATTAGTCGATGAATTTTCCTTGGAATGCTTATTCTTCTCCACCGCGGGTTGTTTAAAAAACCTATAAGTCGCATCCTTAACAGATTCAAGAACTTCAAGAGAAATATCATGATTTATAATTTGAAAGAAACCCCACTTCTCAGCGGCGTTACATATTTTTTCAGATACAAATTTGTTGTGAATGTCCCAATTGGACATGTCAATTATTGGGATTTGATCATCAAGAATTACGGTGTTAGTTGTAATTCTCTCTTCAATTGGCTGAATATATTGTTTAGGTAATTTTTGAAGGCCTATTTCTGAAAGACCCTTTACTCCATGCCCTTCATTTACTACAAAATCAGTAATATTTGAGAGATCAATAGTAGGCATTTTTGAGTAGTAATTAAAATAAAGTAAGAGAAAATTAATTGTATGGTTTATAATGAGAATATATGAGGAAGTAAATTGTTTGATGATATATTAATGTTTGTGAGATAGTGCAGTATTTATAGTGGAATAAAAGCCTTAATTATTTGTGGAAAAAAATAAAGTGATTGGTGTACATATTTTTTTGTTAAAATGGTTTTTTTTTTTCCAAATTGAAGAACACGTTTTTTCCTAGTTCCTTTGAAGTTTCAACCTTTGGTCCAGAGACTAAAAATCTAAGTAGGCGTTTGGCTATGCGATACCATATCACGATATGGTGTCGTGAGATGGAATCAGCGTTTGGACATGCGATTTTACGCTGATTCCATCTCATGATTCCATATCATGAGAGGTGATACCATATTCTCCAAAAACCATGATATGGAATCACCATGTGATTATCTACTAACCCCACATTTATATCTACTAACCATTTGTTTCATATATAAATAAAATTTATAATCACATCATTACTTTTTAAAATTTATTATCACTTTGAATTTGGTGAATATAAATGATAAAGTAGAAATTCATTTGGTGAATATAAATGAGAACGAAGGGAGTAATACTTTTTTGATTGTTCATAATAAAAAAAAAAGTCTTAATCTTATGACTAAGCATAATATTGATAAAAGACAATTTTCATTGGTGGTGCCGCACTTTCTTAATCTTAGTATTTGCAAAATGTTCGTTCACATGACTGAATGATATCAAATCCAATTGATTGAGGACTTGGGAAAATTTGATCAATTAGTTATTAATATTTAGTCAAGTGGACTAGTTATAATTTTTTTGATTAAATTTTATTAGAAGGGTTTTTGACTCAAACTTGTGGTAACTTTTTAAAATTTCGTTATTCAATAATATTTAACTATTGATTTTTCTTGTAAATAGTTAGAAGTTAGTGATGTTTGTTAATTTTTATCTTAGTGCATTTAACTTCTAAGTTAATATTTACTCACTAATGTATATTTTTTTTCTACTTTATAGGTTATTTGTAAGAGTAGTTGAGAGATATGAGCATATCAAGTACAATTTATGTTCAATTTTTTTAATTAAATTAAAGTTAGATGAAATAATTATTTAACTGAAGAACAAATAACTTTGTAATAATTTATTATGCCATTTTATAATTTTTGTTTATTTGATAAGATTGAATAAACAATTAGGGCTATTTTAATAGTTTTACAACTTATGAGATTTTTATGTTTATGAGAAAATATACAACACAAAAATTCCATATCGCATGTCCAAACAAACCTTCAATTTCATCTCATGATTTCATATCATGATACCATATCGCATGGCCAAACGGGCCCTTAAGTCAATGTAATACTTTATAAGTTTAATTTTAAGCTTAAGATTATCAGAATTATTTATCTTAAAATTGTGTCTATATTATCTTTTACGCCTAATTTAGTATATTACTCTATTCAGGCTCCAGTCCATATTTGTCCTTCAATACATTCCTAATTCAATGTACAAAATTAATGATATTTATTGTTAAACCTAAAATGCAAAGAAAAAAATTAATTAAAAAATATGCAAAGAAAATCAAAATTAATGAGGGCATTTTAGTCAATTCTAAAATATCAATTATTTTACTACATATTGGAGGGAGTAATTAACATAATTTTTCAACGTGTGCATTGACATAATGCACAACTCCCATCAAGAGCAAGACTTTAACTTGCACAAAGGACATAAAACATAAAATCGGCATGCTACTTTTTATTTTCAAAAAAAATTACTACAATTTAAAATATCATAAGCTCTAAAATACTCTACTTTAAAAATTACAAAAATCACCTCTCAGATACATTTCTATTCCTTCTTAGATACATATCTCTCCCCTTTCGTATACATTCCTCCCATTAATTAAGTAATGTATCATTCACAATCCGAGAGTTATGTATCCGCAGGTTGCCTAATGTATCCGAGATCCTATAATTTAAATGAATTTATGTAATTTAAAAAAGAATAGGGATATATATATATATATATATATATAAAAGAAGAGGGAATAAGTATTCACCACAAGTCAACATGTGTTCCAATAAGAAGAGGGAATAACCAATATATTTATAAAAATAAATGACATATAAAATAAAATGGAGAGAGTATTGGTTTTTCAAAATGGAAAAGGACAAAACACATATAAAATTAAAAGACATATAAAAAAAAGTTGGTTTAATTCTCAAACATAAAAAGTAACATATGTTATTAAAAATTTTAATAAAAAGTACTATAATTTACAATAAATAATAACTTAAAATATCTACAAGACAACAAAAAAAAGACTAATTTTTGTACTGCTTCTGTCACATAAATTAGGATTGGGATGATTTTAAAATTTTAATTTTGGTTATACATTATAAACTAGCCGAAAAATTGAATGATATAATTTTTTTAAAAATAACCGAATGAATCGTCCTATCGATAACCCTAATGTTACTTCTACTCTGTTTATTTTTACTTAAATTTAGAAAGATATGCTTCATTTCTACCCTCAATCTTATCGCTACATTTATTTGCTATTTAAAATTGAAATTAAAAAGACAAATGGCAAATAAGTTAACATATTAGCTCACTTATGAGCAAAATATATTATAACAATCTTTACTAATTTTATAACAATACATAAACTATACTCCCTCCGTCCCATATTAGATGGGCACTTCCAACTTTACACGGTGATTAAGAAATCATTAATACATTGGAAGACTTCACCATTTTGCCCTTTGTTTATATCAATGCACATTGAAATGAGTTACAAAAAATACACATACAATATAGGAATGGTCATATTAATTGTAGGGGTAAAATGGAAAAGAATTAATTAATTCTATCCTAATTTAATAAGTGCTCAAATAATATGAAAACAATATTTTTAGTAAGATTCTCATCTAATATGGGACGGAGAGAGTAACAATATAACTTTATTAATATTGGGCCCGGACAGCGCCCGGGCTTTCTTTACTAGTATATATATATATATATATATATAACTATTATGAAGCGTTTTATTTTTCAATAAAAAAATATTTTTTGATACAAATTTAAATTTGATCCAATTTTAATATTAATAATGATTAAAGTACATACATAGGAGGCATCAAAATTGAAAGCACGTTGAATTATTGTCCTTGTGTTTTTCATATGATTTCCAATCAAAACCTAACCTTGTTTTGTTTTTCCTTGGCTGCCAACTATGATATTCTTTCTCATTAATTTCCAAGAGGAAATTTTCATACTATTACTGTAAAAGAGAATTAATTACACTAATCGCGATTTAAATTTAGAATTTATAGCAAATCTATTGAATAAAACCGACGATACTTTGTTATCATGCTGTCTAAGTTTATACTGAGGACAAATTAAGTGAAAGAATTTTTAAGTAATCCTTATCGCAATTAAGGTTGAAAGTTTTCCACAAATGAGTTCTTATACGATTTTGGAAAATTCTCACTTTTCCAACTAAAAGGTTGAATTAGGCATTCGGTCTATTTTCTTAACAAGACTTTATTAATTGATAGCATAAATAGAAAAGATAAATTAAAAATAGGTAGCTACTAGCTAGTTTGTCTCATTTCTATTTTTTGCTTTTGGGAATCGATAATATTGATGATAAAATTTAGGAAAAACTATCTAAATATATATCTTATTTTAATATAATTTCAATTTTTTTTCAAAAATCTCTTTCGGATACATCACTCTTCTCTCACTAATACATTCCTATCCCCCTCTTGGATACATCCCTCCCCTACCTATCCCGTTTCTGATACATCCCTATCCCTCTTTGATACATCCCCTCCCTCTCGGATACATCCCTCTCTTGTGTATCCAAATGTCAGTTGATGTATTCGGAAGTCCAGTGATCAGTGGCGAATTTACAGCCAAAAAATAGGGCACCCGCACCCGTGGTCTCTTCGTAAAATTAGATATTTTATATGTATATTTTTTAAGATTTTGTATAATATTATATTCTTGCACCCGTACTACAAAAGTCTAAATGATCCACATGGTTAGATGTTGAGCTTTTGACCTTGAGGATTAAGGATCAATTCTCACTTCAATACATTTTACTTGGTGCACCCATGTTCGAAAAATCTTAGATTCGCCTCTGCCAGTGATGTATCCGAAATCCATAAATTTTAATAGATTTTTATAATTAATTTGAAAAGAGTAAGAAAATAATGTGACTAGCTCTTAACATTATGTAAATTATACAAAAAAATTTATCAACAGTTGATCAATTTTTTATTTTTTTTTACCCTCCCTAGGAGCTCCCACCCCTTTTGCTCCCTTGGTAACTCCTTCGGATTAAGAGTGAGGGATGCTTACCATCCGAACAAACATACAAGTTCAACTACTCTCATCATGATTTGCAATACAAGCATACAATAATATTATCGACCATGAAAAAGATTAGATGGAGTAACTCAGGTAGATCAATCTGATTCTATAATCTATATATATATATATATATATATATATATATATATATATATATATAATGAGATAGGAGAAGGACCCTAAAATTAGGCACTCCTTAAACCATTGCTTGATGATATTAAAAAGAAAATTGTGAAACTCCACGCTTAATTCTCCATAACATTAAACAAACGATAGAAATAAAACACTTCTCTTCCTTGGCTTTCTCGAATTCTTGTAAAAGGATTTTATTAAAGATTTTTACTCAAAAGTAAAAATAAATATAGGTAATAGATACGCTATCATAGACTATGATTATTTTAGTGTAGTTTGTGTTTCTAGACATATAACTACACTAATTAGTGAAATAAATTCAATAATTCTATAAATCGTGTTTGATTTAATTAAATTCGTGATATGAAGGATCATGCGGAGAGGAGAGATTTGATTTGGAGTTAGCTATGGACAAAGACCAAAGACTTGAACCTCATGAAAATTCAACAACATGCATGCTTTCTCTTTCGCCACCTACTATCCACAAAAGACCAAACACGCACGCATGCACCTTATAAATATTTATTTGTTGTAAATCATCCTATTAAATCAATAGATATTTTAATGACTTTTATAAAAATAAACATGTATAACTTGGATAATGATTTACACCTTGTTTGGATGGTTGTTACTAATTGTATTGTATTGTTAGTTTAAATACAATGTTTGTTTTGATCGTTACCTTAATATTTTCTTCTCATTTTGTCTTTATTTATTATTTAATAATAATATTTCATCTCTTATCTTATATTTTCATAGTAGCTCTATTTGGTACCCTACTTTTCTTGTAGGCCTATCATTCAAATTATAGTTTCAATGATATTATGTAATAATGAAGAACGATACAATCTATCAAAACCTACCTTCATTAAAATAATGCAATCTATCAACATGCTATATTTATTAAAATAATACAATATATTAAAAAACAATACGTAACAACCATCAAAGCTAAGTGTGAAGTCATGTAGTTACCAAAATAAAAACAAAAAACAGGAAACAATATCAACGACTTGGTTGTTGACTTGTTTCAATTATTAACCACCTACCGTCTTATAAACAAGAAAATAACAGCAATTATTATCCGATCAGTATTCTACCGGAAAAATGGAAGTAACTATCGGCGAAACTAACACAATCTATCCTTCTAAGTCGCCTTTCACTGAAAACCATGTCCTTCCACTCTCCCATATTGACACTGATCGGAACCTCAATTTCACTTTCCGATACCTCCGTGTCTACGTCAACGACGACACGACACAACAAAAACCAGACCCATATGAAGTTCTCACCTCCTCCCTCTCCGCCGCTCTCGTCCACTACTACCAATTCGCCGGCTCTCTCCGCCGTCGTCCGTCGGACAACCGTCTAGAGCTTCACTGTCAAGTGGGGAATGGCGTTCCCGTAATTCTGTCCACGGTGGATTGTACCTTGGCTTCTATTAACTACCTGGATGATCCAGATTATAACTTCGCTGAGAAGCTGGTACCCGACCCGAGAGATGAGGAGGCGTTGACCCGACCCTTGATTTTGCAACTGAACCGTTTTAAGTGTGGTGGGTGGGTTTTCGGAACGGCGGTTCATCACGCGATGTGTGATGGAATGGGATCGACGCTGTTTTTTCATGCTATGGCGGAGATTGCTCGTGGGGAGAAGGGGATGAAGATTGAACCGGTGTGGGACCGGTCGAATTTGCTTGGACCGAGGAATCCACCGCGAGTTGAATTTCCGGTTCATGAGTTTCTCAGTTTGGATAGGGATTCGTCTCCATACTTGGAATCAGATAAACCGGCGGTTCGAGAGTGCTTTGAGGTGAAGGATGAGTGGTTGGATAGGCTAAAGGGGTTTCTTCATGAGCAATCCGGTTCAAATTATACAACTTTTGAAGCTTTGGGAGCTTTCATATGGCGAGCAAAGTATGTTCTTTTCACTTGTTTAGTGGTAATATATAGTCGTTTGTTTGGAATTGAATTGAAGCGTAGTTGTTGTTGTTATACTAAAAAGGAGTATCGACCTTCTCATCAATGCTTAAAGATTGTTCCTTTACTTTTTCGTCCTTTTATCATTGTCATTTTGTATACTTGCACATTATGAAAAGTTAGCTTATCTTGGGGGCTATATATATATATGTTTGTTTTCATGTGTTAATATGTAAGGACTGATCTATTAATTTATGAAACTACAGGGAAAAGGCTTCTAAAATCTCAGATGATGAGACAGTGAAGTATGCCTATCTAACCAATATCAGAAGAAGAGTGAAGCCACCATTGCCAGCAGGTTACTGGGGCAATGGGTGCGTGCCAATATACGTTCAGCTCCTCGCAAAGGACCTCATCAATGAACCTATCTGGAAAGCAGCAGACGCGATAAAGAAGAGCAAGGACATCATCACAGATGAGTATGTTCGTTCGTTCATTGATTTCCAGGAGCTGCATTATGATGAAGGGATCACATCAGGGAATAGAGTGAGTGCATTTACAGATTGGCGGCATGTAGGCCACGAGACGGTTGATTTTGGATGGGGTGGCCCTGTGACTGTCTTTCCTCTGTCTAGACACTTGGTTGGGAGTGTTGAATCTTGTTTTTTCTTGCCTTATTCTTCCGCCACTCAAGGTAAGAAAGATGGTTTCAAAGTTTTGGTCTGTCTGCAACAAGAAGCCATGCCTGTTTTCATGGAAGAGATGGAAAAGTTGGAGCATGGACTTGCTTGATTTTACTATATATGCAGCTCCTCTTATGTACTAATAATATCACTCGAGAATCAAACAAGAAAATCTCTTTTAACTGTGATTTATTTATATGTGTTTCAAGTATTAAATTATTAATTGTTTTGACTTATAGTAAAAAAAATTTATGTAGTTTCTAAATAATTAAAGATTGTATATCCAAATTAATGTTCAAAATAAAAAAAAGTTCAACTCTGAAAATTCGAGAGACAGATGGATGGATATTTCATTAGTGATTAGAAGAATATAAATGAATATTGGCGCAACGCGGGAGCTTTGAAAGATAGTTATTTTAATTGTAGAATTCAAAGCCTTTACCGTTAAGGATTGATATTTGCTAATTTATTTAATTAATACTCTAGGTAAATAAGATAGATTTGTATTTAGAATTATTACTAGGTCTTCTAATTAGTGTGAAAGTAGGTTTTCTTTTTACCACTCTGTCAGCAAAATAGGTGTGGTTTGAAGTTGAAGTTTGTTGGAATAATAATTTAAAGTTGGAGTAGAATTCATTATTTTGGTATTTATTTAATTATGTCTAATTAGGATTTGTTTGTCCTAATAGTTCAAATAAGAATATATTTTCTAGTTTTAGTTTAATTAGGTGTCTTACTATTATAAATAGGGATATTGTTAGTTATTTTTCCACTTTACAAAATATACCGTATAGAGAGAAAAGTAAGTTTGAAGTAGGATTCAAGAACTTTTGATTTTATAAATAAAATAGTTTGGATAATGGATTTGTATGATAGTGGAGTAATGGAGGCAAGAGTGCAGTTTGTGAAATCTCGTATTCAGCCAGTTATCGAAGACACTAACAAGGAAATCAAGCATCTTGAACTATCAATTGCAATCCTGAATGTCAAGATGAAACTCAAATCCCGTATTCAACCCGTTATTGAAGACGTTGACAACGAAATCAAGCATCTGGAACTATTAATTGCAATCATGAATGGCAAGATGAAAGTCCTTACCGCACATCGAAAAGTTTTTCAGAATTTGGAACATATTGTCATGACTCGTGGAAATTTCACACCTCAAGGTACATATATAATATTTATTTATATTTGAGGTTTTCCAAATCCAAATACATATATGATTAATTAATCAAGCTTTTTGTTTCAAATCTCACCAGACGTGCTAACTGAGAAAATTAAGATTGATGATAATGATGATGATATCGATGATAATGGTGATGGTGAGGATGGTGACGATGATGAAGATAAGAAACGGAGCAGACATCTTCATCGCATGGTTTCTGTTTTGAATAAAACACGCAAGTTGCTGCGTCTAACCACTAGTACACCAAAGGTGATGGTTGAACATCTCAAAGGAGAAAAAGAATATAAGACTAGCTAGTTAGGATTCTATATCTTCAATTTTTCTCTATTAATTATAATCTAGTAAACTATTACACTTTTTCAATAATATTTACATACTCGATGTTATTTCCATATTTCCATATTTCAATTAGATAAGGAGTAGGAAAATTCTTCATCATATTTGATTTTTGTTTTACTTATGCAGATTCCAAACCTACTCCCACTCCTCAAATCTGCAAAGTCAAAACCCTCCTTCTATTCTCTTGTGGTTTATGAGAGTAACTAAATTATTTTCTTATCTTGGAAACCTAAACCGTTAGGACTTGATATTTGCTAATTTATTTAATTACTACTGATCTCTCTGTGTAAATAAGATTTGTAATTAAAATTATTACTAGGTCTTCTAGTTAGTGCGAAAGTAGGTTTTCTTTCTACTATTTTATTTTATCAAAATAAATAGAACCTTTATTCTAGGAGCTAGGATTTGTTATTTTGGTATTAATTTAATTATGTCTAGTTAGGAAATTGGAATTAATTTTCTAATCCTAGTTTTATTTGGTTTGGTGTCTTACTATTATTTATAAATAGGGATGTTGCTTTTTATTCTTCATTATATAAAAATATATCGTATATTGTCACACCCCAAAACCAGATGTGATGGCACGTGCCCAAACCCCACCGGACACGTCAGCCTAACACCCAAAAACCCGACAATACAGAATTTATAAAACAAGAATAAGATAGAAAGATAAGCGGAAGTCTTTAAATAAACTCAACATAACCCCAGAATTGGTTGTCACATGTACAAACCTCTAGTACAGTATCTGAATAAAATATACAAGTCTCATAGTAAAGTTCTAGAATAGAACAGAACAGTAAATATAGATAACTTGAGGGCACGTCTGGAATGAACCGTTACCTCTCAAGTAAGTCTGGAAGCTCTAATTTGAAGATGAGTAATAAGCCGGATCTGATAGAGTTGTCAACCTACACAACTGTGTAGAAGCAAGGGTGAGTACCAAAAGCAACAGGTACTCGCAAGTAACACTAAACTAAGCTAAACTAGCAGCTACAAACAACTCCTTTCAATCCTGACCGAACCACCGAAACTTCATTCTAACAGCGAACCAACAACCTATTCTACACAATTCATAATCAACAGATATATCCAACAGTGTCTCAACATCAACCTCATATCCTCATGTAAGAGCAAATAGATCATATATCACATGAAGAGGGGCAAATAGGAAAAAACAACACACCATAGACAAAGATGAAGTCAAATGCGATGCAAATGCAATAATGATGTCATGTAGTCGTGATGCATGTCTGTCCTAAGATACACATCTGTTGACGTAATCAGACCGCGCTGAATACTCAAATCAGAACCCATGGGGGCCACACATGGACCATGTATCACCGCCGGAACTAGATCCCATCGACATCCAAATCGCTAGCCGGAGCTAGTCTCAACTGTGTCTCATATCCATCCATCCTCATATCAGTGTCTCAGAACTCATGCAACAGATAGTTCACACATGGGATGAATAATGAATATGCACATGTCATCAATCACAATCATTTCACGATCACATCATAGTATTACACATTATCTGTCTCAATCACAACCATATCACGACCACATCATAGTATTACACATCACCTATCTCAATCACAACCATATCACGGCCACATCATAGTATTACATATCACCTGTCTCAATCACAACCATATCACGACCACATCATAGTATTACACATCATCTGTCCCAACATCAATGTCTGTATCAATCATAGCCTACTCATTCTCTTCTATCCCCTCAATATCAGTTATCACATGACTTATTCAACAAATTCAAGTCACATATAACAAATTTAGCTCGTTTTATTCCCCATCTTTCAATTACAACAATTTCAATCAACAAATAAAACTCATCCTCAATCCCCATTACTCCCCAACACAATTAGGAAAGTAGTCATGTGTAGTCTAAGAGTTTAACAAAGTTTAGAAGTCACTTGCCTCAAAACACTTCAACTAGTAACTCAAATTTGAGTTTTACCCTTCCGAGCACGCTCCAAATCACCACAATCTATTCATAAATGGAATCTCACAATCAATACGAATCTAACAACACCAATATCGTGAAATTTGGAGAAAAGGGTAAAATGGTCAAAAAAATCTCGTTCCGAAAAATATTCTCGAAATCTGGAAATTTTTAGTGAAAAATGTTCCCCAAGAAATTTAGAATCCAATAGTGAAAACCGTTTCGAAAAAGGAGTTGAAATGAGTTCACAAACTCAAATTTTCTATTAAATTCGGATTAGGCAAAAACCCCCAAATTTTACAGTATTGGTGTTGTTAGGGGGGAGGCAGCCCCCGAGGTCAGAGTTGAGACCCCAGCTAGGGGTAGAGGTCGGGCTAGAGGCCGAGAACGTGGTCGAGGCCGTGCCAGAGGAGCGGCACCTGCCCGAGGCCGAGGTAGAGAGCCTTCACCTGAGCCACAAATTGGAGTAGCTGCAGAGCAGGCTCCTGCGGGCCATGCACCCCCAGTTCATGATGACAGACTCAACAGGATATTTGGGTTATTGGAGCGTCTTGCTCAGGGTGCAACAGGTATACCAGCGGGGTTACAAGCTGGGGTAGGGGCACAGGCCCCTGGTTATCAGCATCAGATTCCAGTGGTTACAGAGCCGGTGGTTCAGCCACCACAGGTTCCAGCACCGGTTGTAGGTGTATCGGCGGCCCTTGAGGTGGCCTTGGCAGATGATGACCAGGTCTGCTATGAGCGGTTTCAGAAAATGAAACCACCTCAGTTTCATGGTGCTAAGACTGATGATGCTCACGAGTTTTTGACCTTGAGTCGAGAGATGTCGGCGGCGGTACGCATGTTAGATGAGAGGGGAGTCCGATTTGTGTCCTTTCAGTTACGCGGTGTCGCTAGGGAGTGGCTAAGGACCTTCATGAGTTCGAGACCAGCGGGATCTCCTCCTATGGAGTGGAGTGAGTTTTCTAGTGCCTTCGAGGGTCGTTTCATCCCTTGGAGTGTACAGGAGGAGAGCCGTATGAGGTTTGAGAGTTTGGTGCAGGGTAGCATGTCAGTCGCAGATTACGAGGCTCGATTCTGTCAGTTGTCGAGACATGCCTCTGCTTTGATTTCAGGTGAGCCTGAGCGAATTCGCAGATTTGTCAGGGGTTTGATTCCCACTATCCGTAGTTATGTGTTTAGATCATCTCGAGAGGGTGCTTCCTTCCAGACTATAGTGAGTGCAGCCAGAGAGGCTGAGTTGCTTGAGCGGGATGATTTTGGTGGGCCCAAGAGGGTCCGTACAGGTGGTCAGTATTCGGGTACCTCGTCAGAAGGTAGGGGCCCACACAGGGGAGGCGGGTCCTTCCTGCGTCAGAGGCCAGTACATGCTTCATTACCAGCTATCGAGGGTGGGCCAGTAGCTCGGGGTCCTCCAGGTTCGGGTCGAGGTGGTTATAGCATTACTTCGGGTTCTTCACAGTCAGGATCCACACCGAGGTCTTGTTATGGTTGCGGTGATCCAGGCCACTTGATTCGTCAGTGTCCACATCAGACTCAGTCTAGACCACACCGTACTGTCTCTGCGGTCCCAGAGAGAGATTCAGCACCTCCGGCTAGAGGTCGGGGTCGGGGACCGGCATCTGGTAGAGGCAGACGAGTTTCGGGTAGAGGTGCTAGTGGCGCCTCAGGTTCACAGAGTGGGGGCAGAGGTGCCCAGTGTTATGCTTTTCCTGGGAGGCCCGAGGCTGAGGCTTCTGATGCAGTTATCACAGGTATCGTCTCAGTTTGTCATCGGCTTGCTTCCGTGTTATTTGATCCTGGTTCTACATTCTCATATGTGTCTACATATTTTGCTTCCGGCCTTGAGTTGACTTGTGATCGTATGTCTGTGCCTATTAGAGTCTCTACACCCGTAGGTGAACCCTTAGTGGTGAATCGAGTATATCGATCTTGTCTTGTTGTCTTATCAGGGTATGAGACTTGGGTGGATATGATTCTTCTTGATATGTTAGACTTTGATGTCATATTGGGTATGGACTGGCTTTCCCCCTATCATGCGCTTCTTGATTGTTATGCTAAGACTATCACCTTAGTTATTCCGGGTATTCCTAGAGTGGAGTGGAGAGGGACTAGTGGTTCGTATCCCAACAGGGTCATATCTCATATTCGGGCTCAGAGGATGATTGACCGGGGTTGTTTATCTTATTTGGCCTTTATTCGGGATGTTGGAGCTGAGTCACCCGCCATGGAGTCTATTCCGGTGGTTCAGGAGTTCCCTGATGTGTTTCCCGAGGATCTACCTGGTGTTCCTCCTGTTCGTGATATTGACTTCTCTATTGACTTGGAGCCGGGCACCAAGCCCATATCTATTCCACCTTATCGTATGGCTCCAGCTGAGTTGAAGGAGTTGAAGGATAAGATTCAGGACTTATTGAGTAAATGATTCATACGCCCTAGTGTGTCGCCTTGGGGTGCACCGGTCTTATTTGTGAAGAAGAAAGATGGGTCGATGAGGATGTGTATTGACTATAGACAGTTGAACAAGGTAACGGTGAAGAATAAGTATCCCCTTCCCCGTATTGATGACTTGTTTGATCAGCTTCAGAGGGCAGCCTTGTTCTCTAAGATCGACTTGAGATCTGGGTATCATCAGTTGAGGATTAAGCCTTCAGATGTGGCGAAGACAGCTTTTCACACACGATATGGTCATTATGAGTTTTTGGTGATGTCATTTGGGCTCACCAATGCCCCTGCGACGTTCATGGAGTTGATGAATGGAGTGTTTCGCCCATACTTGGATTCCTTCGTGATTGTGTTTACTGATGACATCTTGGTATATTCCAAGACCGAGGCGGATCATATTTGTCATTTGAGGGCCGTGCTACAGAAGTTGAGAGATGAGAAGTTGTATGCTAAATTGTCTAAGTGTGAGTTTTGGCTTGAGTCAGTGGCTTTCCTAGGGCACGTGGTGTCTAAGGATGGAGTTAGGGTTGATCCGGCCAAGATTGAGACGGTTCAGGGTTGGACTAGACCTACATCACCTATCGAGATTCGGAGTTTTGTTGGCTTGGCGGGTTACTATCGGCGTTTTGTTCAGGGATTCTCTACTATAGCTGCGCCGTTGACCAGATTGACTCAGCAGACGGTTCCTTTTCATTGGTCACCCGAGTGTGAGGCGAGCTTCCAAAGGCTCAAATCCCTATTGACTTCATCACCTGTCTTGACTTTGCCAGAGGAAGGTGTTGGATTTACTATTAATTGTGACGCTTCGGGTGTTGGACTTGGAGGTGTTTTGATGCAGAAAGGTAAGGTTGTAGCCTATGCCTCTAGACAGCTGAAGGCACACGAGAGGAATTACCCCACTCATGATTTGGAGTTGGCGGCTGTGGTGTTTGTGCTTAAGTTGTGGAGATATTACCTATATGGTGTTCATTGCGAGGTATTTACTGATCATAGGAGCCTACAATACATATTCACTCAGCGGGATCTGAACTTGAGACAGCGTAGGTGGCTTGAGTTGCTCAAGGACTACGACATGACCATTTTGTATCACCCCGGGAAGGCCAATGTGGTGGCCGATGCCTTGAGTAGGAAGACTCCTAGTATGGGGAGTCTTGCCGCGATCAGTGTTGAGAGGCGGCCTTTGGTTCGGGATGTTCAGAGGTTATTTGACAGCATGGTGAGATTTCGGGTTTCTGAGGAGAGTGGAGGTGTGTTTGCCTTCGTTGAGGCCCGTTCATCTTTGATGGAGCAGATTAGAGAGCATCAGTATGAAGATGGGAAGTTGTGTCTCATCCGGGACAAGGTGATGAGTGGTGAAGCCAAGAAGGCTAAGATTGACTCTGAGGGTGTATTGAGGATTGAGGGCCGGATATGTGTGCCCAAGGTTGGTGATTTGATCAGATTGATTCTTGAGGAGGCTCATTATTCTAGGTATTCTATTCATCCCGGAGCGGCGAAGATGTATCATGATCTTAGTCAGCACTATTGGTGGTGTGGGATGAAGAGGGATATTGCAGAGTTTGTGGCTAGGTGCTTGACATGTCAGCAGGTCAAGTGTGAGCACCAGAAGCCTGGTGGTGTGACTCAGAGGATGCCCATTTCTACTTGGAAGTGGGAGAGGATTGCTATGGACTTCGTAGTTGGATTGCCTACCATCGTGGGTGGTTATGATTCTATATGGGTGGTCGTCGACAGACTGACCAAGTCTGCTCATTTCATCCCTGTCCGAGTGAGGTATACAGCGGAGAAGTTGGCTCAGATTTATATTAGTCAGATTGTGCGATTACACGGAGTGCCGGTGTCCATTGTGTCTGACAGGGGTTCAATATTCACTTCTCATTTCTGGAGAGCATTACAACATGATTTGGGCACTAGACTCGACATGAGCACAACTTTTCACCCTCAGACTGACGGTCAGTCTGAGAGGACTATTCAGGTGTTGGAGGACATGCTTCGAGCTTGCGTGATCGACTTTGGTACTAGATGGGATCAACACTTGCCATTGGCAGAGTTCGCCTACAACAACAGTTATCATTCTAGCATTGGGATGGCATCTTTTGAGGCACTGTATGGTAGGCGGTGTAGATCACCTATTGGATGGTTTGATTCAGCGGAGGTGAACTCCCTTGGTACTGATATTCTTAGAGAGGATATGGAGCGTGTTCGTGTGATTCAGAGTAGGCTCTTGACTGCCCAGAGTAGGCAGAAGAGCTATGCTGACAGGAGGGTTCGACCCTTAGAGTTCATGGTGGGTGATCGAGTTTGGCTTCGGGTATCGCCCATGAAAGGTGTGATGAGATTTGGGAAGAAGGGCAAGCTCAGCCCTAGGTTCATTGGCCCATATGAGATTTCGGAGAGGATGGGAGAAGTGGCTTACAAGTTAGCCTTGCCACCTAGTTTGACAGCCGTGTATCCAGTTTTCCATGTTTCTATGCTCCGGAAGTATGTTCCGGATAAGTCTCACGTGATTTCGGTTGAGTCGGTGGAGTTGAGTCCAGATTTGACATTTGAGGAGGAGCCTATAGCTATTTTGGACAGGCAGGTTCGCAAGCTCCGTACCAAGGACATCGTTTCAGTGAAGGTTCAGTGGAGGCATCGATCAGATAGGGAGGCGACTTAGGAGTCCGAGGATGATATGCGGGTCCGATATCCCCAGCTTTTCGAGGCTTCAGGTACTTTCTTTTACTTTATGTTCGAGGACGAACATGGTTTTTAGTGGTGAATGATGTAATGACCCGAAACGTCATTTTGGTAATTTTTCGTGGAAATGACTATTTTGCCCTTTCGGTAGTTGCCCCGAGTCCCATGTTTTGTGGTTGTAAAGTTGGTTTGAGGAAAAGTTGGTAAAAAGTTGAGTTTTTGAGAAGTTGAGTTTTTATGAGTTAAAGTTGGTTAAAAAGTGCTTTTTCGAGTCATTTGGAGTTTCGGGACTCGGATCGGATTTTCGTCGATTCCGGCAGTTTTAGAATGTCGAAACGGGTATGTGTGAAGTTACGGAGTCGAATTTGGAGTTGAAACGAAGAATTGAGGTCCTAAGTTGCTAAAGTTGTGAAATTTTGATAAAGAGTTGACTTTGGTCAACATATGAGGTTCCGAGGCTCAGATTGAAATTCCGAGAGTACCGTTGGTTTCGGGAGGCGATTCTAAGTCTAGAATGAGTCTTGGTTGAATTTTTAGACGCTCCGTTTGAGTTTCGAATTTTTTTGGCGTTAAACTAATTTCTTGACATCTTATTGAATTTCGGGTCTAGGAGTCCTCGAATTCAAATTCCGACGGTTCCATTGAGTCCGGAACGTCGAATTTAGTGGGGGTACATATTTAGTTTGTGTGCACGAGATTCCGAACGAATCCCGAGGGTCCAACAGGGACTTAAACTTTGGTGTTATTGTTGTGTTTCAGCTGCAATAGCAGTCCTTTTTAAGTCAAAAAACAGTAGTCATTTTCCCCCAACTTGAAAAATACCTATTTCTCCATTTTTAGACTTTGAGAGCTCGAAAATAGGTGATTTCAAGTGGATTTTCGCAAGGAATTCATTGGGTAAGTTATTTCCAACTTATATCTTTGATTTCCATCGATTATTTATGGATTTTAACATCAAAAATTGAGATCTCAACTGTAAAATTTGGGGGTTTTTGCCTAATCCGAATTTAATAGAAAATTTGAGTTTGTGAACTCATTTCAACTCCTTTTTCGAAACGGTTTTCACTATTGGATTCTAAATTTCTTGGGGAACATTTTTCACTAAAAATTTCCAGATTTCGAGAATATTTTCCGGAACGAGATTTTTTTGACCATTTTACCCTTTTCTCCAAATTTCACGATATTGGTGTTGTTAGATTCGTATTGATTGTGAGATTCCATTTATGAATAGATTGTGGTGATTTGGAGCGTGCTCGAAAGGGTAAAACTCAAATTTGAGTTACTAGTTGAAGTGTTTTGAGGCAAGTGACTTCTAAACTTTGTTAAACTCTTAGACTACACATGACTACTTTCCTAATTGTGTTGGGGAGTAATGGGGATTGAGGATGAGTTTTATTTGTTGATTGAAATTGTTGTAATTGAAAGATGGGGAATAAAACGAGCTAAATTTGTTATATGTGACTTGAATTTGTTGAATAAGTCATGTGATAACTGATATTGAGGGGATAGAAGAGCATGAGTAGGCTATGATTGATACAGACATTGATGTTGAGACAGATGATGTGTAATACTATGGTGTGGTCGTGATATGGTTGTGGTTGAGACAAACGATGTGTAATACTATGATGTGGTCGTGATATGGTTGTGATTGAGACAGATGATATGTAATACTATGATGTGATCGTGATATGGTTGTGATTGAGACAGATGAGGTGTAATACTATGATGTGATCGTGATATGATTGTGATTGATGACATATGCATATTCATTATTCATCTCATGTGTGAACTATCTGTTGCATGAGTTTTGAGACACTGATATGAGGATGGATGGATACGAGACACAGTTGAGACTAGCTCCGGCTAGAGATATATGAGATGGACTAGCTCCGGCTAGCGATTTGGATGCCGATGGGATCTGGTTTCGGCGGTGATACATGGTCCATGTGAGGCCCTCATGGGTTCTAATTTGAGTATTCAGCGCGGACTGATTACGTCAACAGATGTGTATCGTAGGACAGACATGCATCACGACTACATGACATCATTATTGCATTTTGCATCGCATTTGTCTTATCTTTGTCTGTGATGTGTGGATTGTATCGGTTTACCCTTCTTATGTGGAATTTGATCTACTTGCTCTTATTTGTTGATCTGAGGTTGATGAGGATATACTGTTGGTTCTGGCTGTTGAATATGATCTGTTTAGTATAGGTTGGTTGGTTTGCTGCTAGATTGAAGTTTCGGTGGTTTGATTGGGATTGAAAGGAGTTGTTTGTAGCTGCTAGTTTTGCTTAGTTTAGAGTTACTTGCGAGTACCTGTGATTTTTGGAGAAGTTGAAGAACTTTTGAGTTTATAAATAAAATAGAGTTGGATAATGGGTTCGGATGGCAAGGAAATCAAGCATCTGCAACTATTTATTGCTATCATGCATGGCAAGATGAAACACCAAAAAGAATTTCAGAATTTGGAAAATATTGTCATGACTCGTGGAGATAAATATAATGATGTTGATAATAATAATAATAATAATAATGACGACGAGGTGGAGGAGAAACTGAGCAGCCGTCTTGATTGCATGATTTCTGTTTTGAATATAATCCGCAAGTTTCTGTGTCCAACCAACCACTAGTACACAAGAGGGGAAGGAGGAAGGAAAGGAGAGATAATACTAGTTAGGATTCTCTTCATATTTTATGTCTTTACGTACATGAGTTTTTTCTAGAAAAGTCAAGTAGTGAACTTTTCTCCCTTCAAGTATAAACTATTATTATTATTACATAATATAATGACAACATACATCATATCTTCTTGCTTGACCTGTTTTTGCAAATTTGAGCTAAAGTTTACTCTGTATCTGAATATGTTGCTTCCACTGCTCTCTTAAAACTCTCCTCAACAACTTATTTGAAGCTGTTCGAGGCAACATTCCAACTATCTTTACCCATCTCACCTATTAATGATACATAAACAAAATCAAGTGATTGTTTGTATATCTTTCTATTCTAATTTAACAAATTCTCAATCCAATCCAAATAGAGGATACTTCGATAGCCGAATGGAAAGGTACAAACCTTGAATAAAGGATTAAGATTGCTTTGAATGGCTCTTGAGAATCTTTTCTTTAGTGTGTCTGGTGAAATATTCATCCCCTCTTTGACAACCACAAATATAGCTAACTGTTCTGGACCTCCATTGGATGGGGCAGCACTGACTGCAGCAGTTTCAAGGACACTCTCATCAGCACCATCACATACACGCTCAATTTCTATTGAACTTGTCTGCACGTAAACAAAAGAAGATTTCATTCGAGTGTTGCTGCAGAATCATTGAGCACACATGACTATAAATTTGTCTTGTGTTCTCATCTTCTAGTGCTGTCTACTAGCAAACTTGAATTGATAGTACCTTTATGCCTCCAAGATTCATGGTGTCATCAGCTCTGCCGTTAACAACAAGATAACCTCCAATAGTTCGCTTTAGGATATCACCATGTCTCCTTAGTTGCTGGGGGGGGGGGGGGGGGGGGGGGACTTCAGTATAAGTTATAACAGCAATGAAAGTGATCAAGTTACTTAATTAAAAGCTAGTCAACAGAACACAACTTATCCCATTAAAATATGGAAAAAGAATTTGAGTTTTGAGTCTATCATCTGCAATCTGTAGTCAACCATCTTACTCTTGTTTGGCAAAAGAATTTGAGAGTCAACTGTCAGAATTATCATGAAAAATCATGCCTAGTTGATCGAACCATTTCATTCTCTAGAAATGAACCTTATTAGCATAAAAGGCCATATCCGAAGCTAGGAAGTAAAGAATGAGCCAATCAACAATTAATTCAATTTCACATAGTTCAATAGTACAATGCTAAGTGTTGTAGGGAAAATCCGACAAAGAAAACTGCTTTTCTACGACATGTGCTTACCATATCTTTGTATATTGGCATTCCCTCGAAGTACACTTTTTCATGATCAGCATTCAGCAATCTATCAGTAGCTCCCATATAGGTAGGAAACAGGCCAATTTCACCAACACAAGCTTCATCATCTGGCTGGAAACAGGTTTAAAAAAATATTTTCTCATTATGAATAGAACATCCAGGAATTAAAATAACAAAGGATTCAAAAAACATGTGAGTTCTCAATAAACTGAAGATATTTAAAATGCCGTAAAGTTTTCTAACATAAGGGTGCCCATCTTCATCTAAGATGACAAATCCTGTGGACATTGTTGCAGAGCTAAATGCTCCAAAAGCTTGTGGTTGAAGAAGGTTTCCCATAATGTAAGATGATGATAGCTCTGTGCCTCCACAACATTCAATAATGGGTTTATAGTACACCCTTGAAGAAAGCCAAAGGTCATCATCAACATTAGAGGCTTCTCCAGTACTAGCAAACATCCTGCAGATGCTTTCATGTTAGATTGTCCCACTGACAAATCGGTCTTATATATCTTTAGCTTTTTAACTCAAGGAGTACCTTATCCTTGTCCAATCGAGGCCTTTCATACACCCAGTACTCTTCCAAGTCTTCACTAAGCTAGGAACAGTCCCCAAGACAGTAACTCCTGCATCCTACTAACACATGGCGGGTAGAGAGAATAAATAAAATTTAGACACACAAGCTCAGCTGAATTAGGTTTTTACAAAATGTGATCAAAGTAAAAATTGCTACTATAGGAAGTTGTGTTGCGGAGAGATACATAGCCAACACATTTAATGGCCTCGAACATTCACCAAAAGATAAAGATTTCAGTATAGGTCTGGTAGACCCTTAAATGAATATGAAGATAAAAGTTTCTTTCTGCATAGGAGATTCAGTCGATCACCTGCACAAATTTCCCAAAACCATGGTCTAGAGGAGATCCATGATAGAGAGCTAGAGTTGCACCAGTTAGAAAGCAGGAGTACAGTAGAACTGGTCCCATCACCCATCCCAAGTTTGTGGGATAGCAGAAAACATCACCAGATTGAATATCAAGATGAGCCCATGAATCAGCAGTACATCGAATGGGAGACAGGTGAGTCCAAGAAATTGCTTTCGGATCTCCTGACAAAGGCAAAACAATCAACCGAATCAACAAGCTACACAAAATGCACAGCCAAAAATAAATTATGTAGTCTAAGCAAGGGCAATTTACCTGTCGTTCCTGATGAGAATAGTATGTTGGTAACAGATTCTATGGATTGATAAACCGGAAAATAACAATTTGGCCTGCCAGAGAAGAAAAAATAATCAAAGCTTAAATTTTTACATCAAGGGTAAATAAAGATATTATTTGATAGTCGCAGGCTTGCAGCAATTATTTATACAATTTTGCAAAATTTAGACATCCTTGGAGAACTGAGGAGGTTGGGAATAAAAGACCAAATCCAGCATAACCCTGGATTGCCGCTAAAAGTGCTATATATTGTCAAGATAGATTCACGATTTTTGAACCATCATCAGGGTCATAAACACTAGTACAATAATTTATCAATTAGAGAACATATTCACCATAAATGTTGTTGAAGAAAAGAAGTCATTATATTACCTGGGAAGGTGACTGACACCGGCAAGAAAATACTTCCATGAAAGATCTTGGTTCCTTAGTTGAACTTGTACATCCTCCCCAGTTGCAGGAATTACAATAGCTTTAAGTGGAGCAGCTTCTATAACTCGACTGCAAGAGTTTGAGAGAATGAACCATGTATTCACTATGTTCATGAAAGAACTATGTCTCCGCCATAGTTCAAGAGCAAATATATTTGTTTCTTTAAGGGTGAAATGATACAAAAATCAATGGCTGGAGGAATGGCATTTGAATTTCCTTCCCTTCTTTTTATTTAATTCCTTATTAGTGGAACTTCGACTGAGTATTTTGCCGTTGTCTTCTTTTTTTTTCCGTTAACTTCTTGTTCTTTCTTCTCTTGCATGCTGAAGAATGCGTAATTTTTGGTTGGGAGGAAGATGAATTTTCTCATCACTTCCTTGAAGGGCTTTCACAACTTTCTATACCCAACCAAAGACAGACACTATGCAGGTAACTTGTGTGCATTTTCACAATTTTACCATCCAGCATAACATTAGTCACTTACCTATACAAGGGGAATCTTCGGCCTCCTCGCACTACAGAATCCTAAATTTTTCATAAAGCTTAGATGTTAGAAATAATCATACACAAGTTAAATAGCTCTACTGATATTAAGATTAATGTCACCAACTAGACAATATTTACTTTCGTTTATTGGTTATTAGATTACAATATTAACTCACACTAGAACAGACTCATAGACAATAATAAAGCTGAATATTCATCCAAAACTTCATAATTCATGATCAAAATATGGTCTTGTAAGTTGAATGTCTTTTTTAAACATAAACTGGAAGCCAGAGATTTCTTATTCGTATGTCTGCGGAACTTCAAATCCTGTATCATTGTCTGATTGATCATAACTCAAAAGGGAATAAGGGAAGATTTACACCAGGGGTGTAAGACATTAACAAACGGTTAGGGGATTACAGACCTGACATGATATAGAGAGAGATAAATATCATGTCCTTGAAAACTAGTTAAGGAAGAATTTTAGAGATTGCCACCTAAAGGAAAAAAAAACATATATATGGAAAAGGCCAATCTAGTGAAGAACACCTAGGACTAATTGCTAAATAGGCAGAGAAAAACCATCTCTTGATGGATTCATATTGTTAACATTTCAATGCAGAAAATATTCTGGAAAGTGTCCCCATCTATCTCCTCCATAGGGAACTCCTTTGGTTTAACATTTTATGTTCACTAGAAAATAGAAGTACCTGTGTAAATATAGCCCTAGCATTAGACACTCGTAAACGGACTGCAATCTCCTGTGCAGCAAAGCTATCAGCAATTGATACTACCACATATCCAGCAAGAACAATGGCCAAGTAAATAACAACTGCTGTGACAGTCATTGGCATGTCAATGGCAATTGCATCTCCCTTTGAGAACATGTTATCCAGTGCATTTGCAACCATCCTGTGGAAGAGATAATGAGTTTAAAATGTCTTCTCAATTAAGAAAAGAGTTATTATGAGAAGAAAGGAGCATGTAGAGGGACGTATGCCAATGTATTTTTACAGAACGACAACTAATCAAATCATGTTGCCTGAAGATAGTATCAGAAAACCTAAACCAAAGGCAGGAAAATATATTGTATCCATAACATCAAATGCAAGACGAGAGTATAGTGCATGAGATGAATCACAAGAACAATTTAATTAGTAGATGACTTTACTTTCACCAGAACCAATTAGCGAACATACACTTCATTCATCCAAATATGAACAGAATGAAGAGATATTACAATGTGGAGTCGGAACCTACATTACTTGTTCTCTCAGCTGTTTCAATGTCATGCAATTAACTTCTTTGTCATCGTTCCCTTCTTCCCTCCATACAATGGCCACACAATCATCCTGCTTGTTGCTGTAATTGCTCGAACGTACACAACTCTCGGCTATATTTAGAACTGAACCAGGAAGCCAATTTCCTCCACGTTTTGATTTGTCAGAAAAATCCAAGATGCATTTAGGGGCTTCCAGAAAGTGAATTGGAAGTTCCTTTAAAACAATTGACCAGTAAATCTGAAAAACTTCTCAAATTATAAGCTCCAAGTATGAACAGAATGTGAAATAAAATCTCAGCAGCCAGAAATTCTAAGTTAAAATTGAAAAAAGAACTTGCCTCAGGATGCTGAACAGAAAACCTCTGAAATTCTTTAAAACTCGAGATTGGGTCTTCGTATGATGCTCTGAAAAGCTTTGGACAATGAGTGTCCATTATGCGGCCCAAATTTGTGTATCTAGATTCATTCCTGCATAGAGATAGCAGTTTATCAGCTGAGATTTAACAAATATGCAACTCTAAAAACTAAGTTTTTATAACTAAAACACTTTCAAGCAACATCGTATAAGTTTTCAGAAAAAACTAATAACTGCTAAAATTGTGTAAAATGTAACAAAAAGTGCAATTTCAACTGTTTGATAGTAACTTTTTTGTCTTCAAGTTTTCTCCATTAATGGAGTCAGGTTACTCTTCCTTGATCCAAAGTGTCTAGCCAGGGAAAAGACCAACGAAACATATCACTTAAATGGACAGTAGTAAACACAATAAGTTGGAAATCCATAGGAAGCAAGCCAAATACAATTTTCAGAATATGATGGATAACAACTGCTATATGGATCCTCAACATACATTCAGTTTCGTTTTCAACTAAATACCTGACATACAGGCATCACTTGTCAAAATGACAACAACAGAAAGAGAACAATTTACAGCTGTTATTAGTCCAAGTAATTAGCCATCACAACCCAATAATCATAGAACATGAAAAAGATGATTTTTTTTAATGAAAAGCCATAAAGGGAAAGAGAGAGATTACAGAGAAGGGAACCAATAGAGAGGTGGGCCATTGTGATAGTTATGGTAAACAGAGTAGTAAAGAAGCTGGTGCAGCGGATGTGGGTGTGATGGTTTGAGCAATTTCCGAGCAGTGACCTCACGCCATAACTCCTTTTGAGAGAAACCCACTTTAGCAATTGCAGCTTTCAGCTCTGCCATCAACCATTTAGCCTCCTCCTCTCCTACTCCTGCTCTTACTAAATCTTCCATCCCAACTTCACTTATGCTCTTTCCCATTTTCAAAATTTCCCTTCAAATGTTCTTTCTCCTATCTCCTATCCTCTTGTGCTTGTTTATGTAACTTCAGGTCAACCGTGATAATAGAGTTAAGAGGGGTTGGCACCTACTTTTGAAGGTTAGCAGTAAGAAAAGGTTAGTTGGAACATGTGATTAACGTATTCAGAATAGTAGCCTTTTTTTTCCTCACAAACTTGTTTGTGAAATCAGTTTCAAATGAATTTTACTTCCGATGAAATGAGTCATTGTCGTGTCTTTAAGTGCTTAATTAAAACAAGTCATACTTCGAATATCTAAATCCGTAGAGTAGTTGTATTTCAACTTTTTTTCCCTTCAAAATATTTCATCCACATAGCTCAAAGAATACAAGTACATGTAAATCGGAAATCATTAAATTAAACTCAAAAAAATGAGAAAACAGTACGGGCAAAATAATTGGTCAAACCAAACAGATTGTAAGCGCATGATCCAAGTGAAGAGAAGCAACAATTGCAATATACGCAGTCTAAAGAACATCAGTCAAATGACTCACACATGAAGAGAAAGCAATGTTGTCATCCATATCCATCAGTACTAATAAAGTACAAACAAGCAAAAGAAGCAAGTCGGTAAAATAATCCATATGGATTGTCACTACATGCAACTGCTGAATTCCATGACAAAACTAATTAAACAGAACATCACATCATGTTGTTCAAACTACAGCATTCGTAACCAAGAGGAGAGTCTTCAGTGTCTCGGGGACACGTCATGGTCAGGATTCCTGGAATAATGGACAGCATCAGGGCTCCTACTATGGCCTTGACTAGGGCTCTGCCTCCTGCTGTGACCCCTAACTGGAGAACGTGCCCTAACTGGACTCCGGCTGCGACTCCTTGAACCATTATAAGGTGGAGAATGCTCCCTGACTGGACTTTGACTGCGGCTTCTTGACCCATTGAATGGTGGAGACTGCTCCCTAGGAGGGGATTGTGAGTATGCCCTTCCCTGACCACCACGAGGAGAATATGATCTCTCACGACTGTATCTTTTCTCTTCAGGCGAAACAGACCTGCAAGAGAAGGAGATAAATATTCATATCACAAATCAGAGCAACTACATCCAGACTAAATAATTAACCAAGGAACTCCAGTACTTATATGAAATGTCACATGTTTAGAAGTTGCAAATATGGCTTAGTTTCAGCAAGTTTCTATTCTATGGATAAGAGAAGCAAAGAATTCGCCCAAACGCTCAAATAAAATTCGAAAGATAAGAAAAAAAGGTGAGTTGAGTTCTGAAAACTTTTTGGAAAGTAATTGATCCTACCTAAGAAATCAATAAAGCAGGTTTCACTTACTATAGACAATGTTCCCAACATTCTCATTCTCAATACTCAAAGGCTATTCCCCTTCATACTGCTGACAAATTGAAAACGGGAAGGGGTTTTAATGCTTGAGTTCAAGCTAGCTGTAGCAGACTAGGGAAATGTTGAAGCTTTTAAATTTACCCTCACTTTGATCCATCTTGCTATCAGATCAACTTCCTAGAGTCAAACATGCATAAGGTTTGAGTAAAAGGTAAAACCAAAAGAAATCACAGTGTAGGAAGAAACCGGAGGCAACATATCTTCACAAACCAGAATATTGATTCCTAGGAGAGATGCTCTAAGTGATTAAGAGCTAGTCTGTCATTCACAATGATCTAATGCAAGCAAGGTTCATTTTCCATCAATCACCACAAAATTTCAATTATATCACATTTGTGTCTAATAAGCATACCTTGAGTATTGCCTTCTCTTAGGTGGAGAGTAGTAATCACGGCCGCGGGGAGGTGGAGATCGTGAATACCGAGGAGAGTTATGGTACCTAGGGGGAGTACCTCTCCGATCATAGTTGCGGCCACCCCTACCACTGCAAGATGGTACATCATAGTGTTAACATCTCAGGAAAGAAGAAGTATGACAATCCTTATAGGCACTAAAATAGAATAAACATATAAATTTGTGACTAAGAAACTAGACATTTGGAAAACTTAAACATCGATTTTCATTAAAATCCATGATTTGAAAAAACAAGGACTTAATAATGAGAAAAATACAGAATGTAACAGAGGCTTTACAACTCTATTGTCCAAGAATTTGATAGAGCAACAGAAATGACTGGCTAAAAGAGAACATCCAAAACACAAACAAATTAATCCTTTTGTTTTTAGACAAAACAAATTCCTCCTTTGAGATAGTAATTCCCACAACCAATTTTCGGAACTAAACCACATGAAACTACTGTTCAAGTAAGACACAAGTGAACTAAAGAATTCAAAAATGAGCAAACATAGTAGAAAGAACTACCTTCCACGCTCCCTAGCTCTCATTTCTTGAGGCTTTTTCCTGTTCTCCTCAGCAAAAACTACTGTCAGTTGCCGACCTTGGAAAGCCTGACCATCCATCTGATACTTAGCTTCTGCTGCATCAGCAGGATCCAGATATTGGATAAATCCAAAACCACGTGGTTCACTGTGAAGTAAAAGAGGAAGGACAAGCAAGAGAAGAGGGAACACAAGAAAATGTATTAAAGACATAATCAAATTACAGTACAATTCAGCGAGTGGATGTTAATCCAAGCTACAGAACTCGAGGGCTATTTGAATATCTTAGTTAGAAACTTAGAATAATGACAGGAGCAAGTTTGAGTTTCAGAATTGTAAGGAACCTCTGACGGGTAAACTCACTCCAACAATTAGAATAAAAACCAATATATTTGGAGTCAAAATCAAATTAGTTTCTGAGAAAAAAAAGTGTGCAGTAAGAAGAGACTTGCCTAAATACTTCCAATATTTTCAAACAGCCCGAAAACAACAAACCTAAAATAATCCCCATAAAATTGGAACGCCTTGATAAGCACAGAAGCAAGCACATGGCTGCTGACCTTTCATGTATCAGTTAAAAGATGATTTGAAATTCTTCAAGACGTGAAAACTTGAAATCTTCACATTCTATTGATATATCCATATTCCTTCCAATCTTCACTACCATTAACATCACCTTGAACTCTTACTACTTCATTGATTGTCAAGAGCTCTCTTACTACTTGAAAGTGTCAACAGAACTCTTATTACTTGATTGAAGTCTCCAAAACTCTTTAGTATCACTGCTACATCTCTTACTACTGGAAAGTGTCAACAGAACTCTTACTACTTGAAGTCTCCAAAACTCTTTAGTATCACTGCTACATCTCAACAACTTTAATTAAGTGTTACCCAACATGACATAACAATGAGTAAACAACAGAACCCAATACAAAATAAAAAATAAACAAAAGCCAACAGAAATTTCTATGTCAAACGTAGGGATGGCAACTAGGCAGGGCAGGTTTAAAGCTATGGGTTAAGCCTTGGCAGGTTCAAATAGTTTCAACAATGATGTGGGTTGCGGGTTTAAGAAAAAGAAAAATACTAAAAAATTAAATTTTAATACTGAACTTTCTTAGGCGTACAAAGACCAACACACACTCAACTCCACAAGAAACTGACATCAATTATCGTTACGGCGTTACGTGAGCTTAAACTAATAAACAATTATACAATGTGCAATCATGGCATAACCAAGCTTTTCCCTTGGCTACTTCCATCAAAAAGAACACATCTGCTACCCCTTCAATTGCCCAAGCTATGAAGAATTATGACATATTTTTATTTTATTTTTATAACTGAGAAATCCGTCTATGACCCGGCCATTTGGACCAATCACAGCCTTCTAAACTCGGTGGATAATGGGCCCGCCCCTCTACCATTCTCCACTTAAATACCGGGATTCACTTTGCATGATGTGGGGCTTGAACCTGCGAACTAAGCCACAAATCCTCCACCTTTTGCCACTTGAGCTAGGCCTTGGGGGCTATGACATATTTATGGGATACAGTAGCTTCGAAAACGACGGTAACAAATAAAATAAAAGCTGAAGCACTTGGTTTACTTTGGACATCAATAATGTGATTAATGGGTGTTTTAGGAGAGGAGATTTAACTCGAGGACTATATTCCATTCTTCAAAACATCTTCTGTGAATTATTTTTTTATAAAAAAAATAGCAAATTATGCGGGGGTGGGTGGGTGGGTTTTAAGTGGGGCAGAGCACAAGGAGGGTTGAAAACAATGAATCATTCTATGCGGAGCAGGCCGGATTAAAGTCTCCGTGGGTTATGAGGGTTTGTCCCCCAACCGCCCGCCCTATTTGCCATCCCTAGTCAAACTTAATTTAATGAATTGACTCTCAAAAACAAAAATATAAAATATCTAGTTCCAAAAGATGAAAGGCAATATGTTGGACTGTATAGGACAAAGTATCTAAAGATATGAATGTAATTGAATAACTCCATCACTTCTCTATGAGATCTCTCTTCCTCCCTTTCTTTCTTCTTCTTCTTCTTTCAAGGAGGGAAAGAATTGTGTAGATAAAGACAATGCAAGACAAGCTCACCGAGTATAATAGTCCCTTGGCAAGTAAATGTCCTTGACAGGACCAATTTGCCCGAATGGTTTTTTGAGGTCCTCTGGCCTGCACACAAACAGCAAAGTAAGTGGAACGACATGCTACATGCAAGAATTCATGGAACACCTAAACCTAACATAATGTAACTGAATTAATCATAGGAATTGTAACAGTTTATTAGGACCAATTTTAGCTCTTACTCAGAAAGGCAAGAAGAAGGTAAGTAGTCCCTACAGATGGCTACAAAGAGAGAATAGATTTCATACGGCCAACATTCTTCAATCTTATTTCGGACCCATGTTGTGTCCCCAAGACAAAAATCCTATGCATGTTTTCTAATTTAGTGCACACAGCATCCATTACAAGCATGTAATCAATCACTTCTCCACAAAGAAAAAACAGCTTTACAGATTGAGCTAAAAGAAAATGAGTCTGGTATGCTCCAAGAATAAAATGTTGACAAAATGCATACCGACAGTCATGGCGAAGATTGCGCACTAATAGAGTAGTCGGATCATCTCTGCTACGACCACCATAGCGACCCCCTCTGGGGCTTGGGCTCCTTCCTCTCCTTCCATAACCTCTAGGGGGTGAGGGGCTGTAACTTCTTCCCCTCATTTTCACCAGATTAGTCGAGATCTATCATCAGTTCATCGGATTAGAAGACTAATATATGTCACACCAAAAAATAGCAATCAAAACATATTCAGTTTGATAAAACATCCAAAAACCAGTATAATCAGGGTAAAGAAGCTTTGTTCCTGGGAAAAAAAAAATGCATGTATACCCGACCTTCGCCAAACTTATATTTAGCATGTACCCATAAGCATATAATAGCAGTATTAATATAATTTATGATGAGGTATAAAATGATTATCACAATCCTAGTAATCATAAGAATGTTTTTCTTCATTTTTCTCCATCGGCTCCACCTATTAAACAAGAGACATGATGTAATAAAGGTCCAAGCTCCTCTCAAACTAGAACAAGACGGAGTCAAAGCATTTTCTTTCTATTTATGGGGTCCAAACACAATTAAGTTGGAAAACACAAACTAAAAAGGCTATCAAAATACCACATTGAGGGGGTAATTAGGACCAACAACATTTTAGTGAATACAGAATAAAAGGTGCCAAATTCAGGGGGGTCCCGGACTATTTAAGTCCCTTTTTATAAAGATAGTTTTTTGATTGTCCAAACATTCTTTCATTCTCTTTATTTATTTACTAAAACAACTCTCAACACAACACAAATTCTTTCACAACAACTAAAGGATCAGATTCAAACGCTAAAAAAAGAGCACAAGTAAAACAAATCATTCTCAAATTGCTTAGTAGTTCCAACATCAAAAGACATCCATAGCTGCAAAAAGAACATTTTTTTGGTCTTATACAAGGAATTGAAAAGGCATAGCATGTAAAGGTAATCCACAACAAAAAAATGTAATCCTCCTAACCACCGGAACTTTTCGAAAAAAAACATCATTTTTCAGCAAAGCAAACAATCAAAAACAAAGATGAAATAGAATTACCCCAAAAGATACGACCTGGATTCGTAGGAAAATAAAGGATAAGTTTCAGAAACCCTAACTAGAACATCTGCGAGTAAATATTACATGCTAGAGGAATACACATAGAGGATAAGAGATATACCTGCGGCAAACAAGAATTTTGCAGCGGCGGTGACAGTAGAGATTGAGCTGATTGGAGCTTTATTAGGGCAAACGTTGAACGGGGCACCTATATATCTATTTTGACCCTCTTGAATAATAAAACAAAATTATTATTATTTATTAATAAACCTATAAAAAAGCAGGATACAAATGTTAATATAAAATTATTAAACTATAAGTAAAATTAAAACAAGAAATGAAAAAAATAACTACACCATCACATCAAATCAATTGTTGATATAAAATGAAACTTTTTATGCGATATAATATAATATTCAAGAATATTTTTTCGGACCTTGATTAATGTTATACATTAAAATAAAAAAGTTATTAACACTCGTATGTGAGAATGTATTGAGAGATTTAATTTAAGGGCCTTCAAGTTTTCTAACATATTACGAAGGTATAAAAACAAAAAGAAAAATTCTGAAACAAGTAATTGATTAGATTTATCAAGATTTATATTCATCTATTTATATAATACATCAAATAAACACATTCAAGTATTGAATAAAAATTGATTTAATTGAGATATCTATCCAATAAAAAGTTAGCCCAATCTTACTTGATATTATAACAATTTGCATCATACATGAAATCCCGTATATTATTTCATCTAGGACAAATATGTTTATTGTTCAAATTCTATATAGTTTTAAGCATTTATTACTATGTAATATGTAATAAAATAAACAATACTTACCAAATTAAATAAAACATTTACGGATTATTTATTATCGAGACCATTTGTTTGATAACTCAAAAAAAGCCTGATATTTCAAAGACGAAAACCCTCCAAATTCTCCCTCTCCATTTACGTGCTGCTATATATCCATTTGGACGTTTGTGTGAGAGAGAAAACCCCCGCGCCACCACTCCTTCCTCCATAGCAGAGCAGAGCAGAGCTCTCTCGGAAGTCGCAACCCTATCTATCTATCTATCTATCAGTGATGGATTCTGAGTCAACTCAGCAGCAAGTGGCGGCCATACTCGGAGCCGACCCGGCACCATTCGAAACTCTAATCTCACATCTCATGTCAACCTCCAACGAACAACGATCCCAAGCAGAGTCAATCTTCAACCTCATCAAGCAGAATGATCCCAATTCACTCGCTATCAAGCTTGCTAACCTTCTCACCACCTCCCCACATATCGAGCCCCGTGCTATGTCAGCTATACTCCTCCGAAAGTTGCTTACTCGGGATGACGACTTCATCTGGCCAAAACTCACACACTCTACCCAGTCCTCTATTAAGTCACTCCTACTTACATGTATCCAACATGAACAATCTAAATCCATTATCAAAAAGTTATGTGACACCATTTCCGAACTCGCTTCATCTATTCTCCCTGAAAATCAATGGCCTGAAATATTGCCATTCATGTTTCACTCTGTTACTAGCCATTCACCAAAGTTACAGGAATCTGCTTTTTTTATATTTGCTCAATTGGCACAGTATATAGGTGACATTTTGGTTCCCTATACAAAGGATTTGCATTCAGTTTTCCTGCAAAACTTGAATAATTCCTCCAATCCTGATGTCAGGATCGCTGCATTAAGTGCTGCAATCAATTTCATACAGTGTTTAGCCATCGCAAGCCAGAGGGATAGGTTTCAGGATCTATTGCCTGGGATGATGAGTACCTTGACTGAGGCCTTGAACCTTGGTCAAGAGGCTACAGCACAAGAAGCGTTGGAATTGATGATTGAATTAGCAGGGACTGAGCCTAGGTTCTTGAGGAGACAACTAGTGGATGTTGTAGGGGCAATGTTGCAAATAGCCGAGGCAGAGAGTCTAGAAGAGGGGACCAGGCACTTGGCTATTGAATTTGTGATTACATTGACTGAGGCCAGGGAACGTGCCCCAGGAATGATGAGGAAGTTGCCGCAGTTTATTAATAGGTTGTTTGCTATTTTGATGAAGATGTTGTTAGATGTGGAGGATGAAGTTCTTTGGCATAGTGCTGAAGCTGAGCACGAGGATGCAGGGGAAACAAGTAATTATAGTGTAGGGCAGGAGTGTTTGGATAGGTTAGCCATTGCACTGGGCGGTAACACAATTGTTCCTGTTGCTTCAGAACAGTTGCCGGCTTACTTGGCTGCACCCGAATGGCAGAAGCACCATGCTGCTCTCATTGCCCTTGCTCAGATTGCCGAAGGTTGCTCAAAGGTACCAATGAGAAACTTGTTTACTTTGTTTATTCATGTTAAAGATTAAGTCTTAGTGAAATGGGCCCTAATATGTAGAGTAATTTACCATCTGAAAGTAGGAAAGAACAACATTTGTGAGGATTGAGAAAGGACAAATTGATTCTTATAGCCAACTAGTTGATTGATAATTATTGAAGACCTTTTCTTTATGAATTTAAAAACAGTTTCACTGAATTTGTTTCGTAGGTTTTGGTGTCTTTTGATGCGTTATTGTATGCGTGCACTTATATTTTTGTTGTCCTACATACCCTATCGTAACTGAATATTTTGCTGCATGTCATTTATTGCTTTCAGCATTTTACTTCAAGGGTCAAGATAGTCTCTGACTACTACTTTTGAAAACATTTTAAATTGTTTACAACTATAAAAAATTATGCTTTGAAGTATTTCTAATGTAGTTTCCAGAAATCTAACCCCTTTCTGCAAAAGAAAAAGAAAAGTCAAAGAATTATGTCTTAAATCACACAATGTTGACCTGGTACTCCAAAGCCTGCCTTTCCTTTTTCGGGATGGGTAGAGTATTTGTTCAGTATAACTACTTTTGGTGTGTTGAGTCGTTTCCTGCGGTGGTGCTTGTCAACAACAACAACAACATACCCAGTGAAATCCCACTAGGTGGGGTCTGGGGAGGGTAGAGTGTACGCAGACCTTGCCACTACCTCGTGGAGGTAGAGAGGCTGTTTCCGAAAGACCCTCAGCTCAAGTACATCAAATCCAAGTTAAAGGCGAGGAAAACAGTGTATAAAACATACCATCCAATAAGAAAGATAGTAAATAATCAACAGAGGAGACAGTAGCCTCAATAGAACAATGAGAGAAGTGAAACGCATTAAACAACATAAGGCTATAGGTATCACAGACAAGAACTGCAAGTGCAAGGCTAAGACTACTACACACGCTAACAACCCATACCCTCGCAAGAAACGACAACACGCTAGCCCTACTAACCTTCAACCTTAATACGCGACCTCCACTCCTTCCTATCTAGAGTCATGTCTTCGGTAATGTGAAGCTGAGCCAAGTCCTGTCTAATCACCTCTCCCCAATACTTCTTAGGCCTACCTCTACCCCTCCGCGTACCCTCTACAACCAGCCCCTCACACCTCCTCACTGGGGCGTCTTCGCACCGTCTCTTCACATGTCCAAACCATCTCAGTCTCGCTTCCCTCAGCTTGTCCACCACAGAGGCCACTCCCACCTTCTCCCGGATAACTTCATTCCTAATCTTATCACTCCTAGTGTGCCCACACATCCATCTCAACATCCTCATCTCCGCAACCTGCATTTTCTGAACATGTGAGTTCTTGACTGGCCAACACTCCGCTCCGTACAACAAGGGCCGGTCTAACTACCACTCTGTAGAACTTACCTTTAAGTCTAGGTGGAATTTTCTTATCACACAAGACTCTAGAGGCATTCCTCCATTTCATCCAAGCAACCCCAATGCGGTGTGTGACATCATCGTCGATGTCGCCACTTCCTTGGATTACAGACCCAAGATACTTAAAACTTTCTTTCTTAGGGATGATCTGTGTGGCAAGTCTCACTTCCACATCTGCCTCCTCCAACGCATCACTGAATTTGCACCCCAAATATTCTGTTTTGGTCCTACTCAACTTGAACCCTTTGGACTCAAGCGTTTGTCTCCACACCTCCAACCTCGCATTAACTCTGTCCCACGTCTCATCAATCAGTACTATGTCGTCCGCAAATAACATACACCACGGGACCTTCTCCTGAATAGACCGCGTCAACTCATCCATCACCAAAGCAAATAGTGCTTAATTCCAATTGTTGGATTGTATACTCAACCAATGTTTGTTTGTTGAATTGAACACTTCTGCTTACTCTTTTATGATTTTTAACTAGTTTTTTTTTACGACACTGTGCCGTATTTCCTTTGACAGGTGATGATTAAGAATTTGGAGCAAGTGGTCAACATGGTTCTCAATTCTTTCCAGGATCATCATCCTCGAGTGAGGTGGGCAGCTGTTAATGCAATTGGCCAGCTGTCAACTGACTTGGGTCCAGATTTGCAGGTTCAATATCATAACCATGTATTGCCAGCACTAGCGACAGCGATGGATGATTTTCAAAGCCCACGAGTACAGGTTTGTCCTGGTGGTATGGTGAACCCACGTTAGATGTTGTAGCTTCGTAAAATATGTGTTTTAAATAGTAGCAGAAGATAATATCATAATACTCATATTAATTACTTTACCCCCCAGGGCATTGATCTAGTGCTAAGAGCATATGGTATTTAAGGGGATAAGGGTAGAGGGTTGGACCATTATCTATTCATTTCAAACTGTCTACGCTGAGGGATTTCTCAGTTATCAAAAAAAGAAAAGAAAATATATATTACTCTAGTATAATATTTGGTTGGTCAAATTTAGAATGATAGATTTCTTTATTATCTATCCCTCCGGTCGATATTAAGTGGTGTTTTTGCCTTTTCATTTTGGTCCAATATACATGATGTTTTTACCTTTTCATTTTCATTTTGTAAGTAACTGTTTTCTTCCAAATTTATCCCTATTAGTGGGTCTTTAAGTAACCAAGAAACTGTATTAAATATACCATTTCATTAAGGGTAAGTTAGTAAAAATACTTCTTACTTTCTAGGAGTAACTAGATTTCTTAAGGGGTGTGCCCAAGTTAAAAGCACTGGAGGGAGTATATGTTAACATATCTGATCAATTAATGAGGATGGTCATTTTTGCTCAAAAATATCCGAAGGTTGCGAGTTTGAGTCACCAAGGAAGCAAAAGGGGTGGGAGCTCCTAGGGGAGGGTAAAAAAAAAAAATAGTCTTGTGAC